CAACCGTCTCAAAATTCAATTAATTTTTCAACTTTAACTTTTCAAGGGACAGTTGGATTCAGCTCATACTTGACAGAGTGGTTCATGAGTCTAAGGGCTTTTTTTCACTTCCGCAAGATGGCGCTGTATCCCAATAGAGAGTGCTGCTGTTGATCAGGTGACCAAGGGTGATTAAAAAAAGGCTCCACCATTTTCAAAGGGGAGAAAGTACAATTTGTGTATTCAAGTAAAAAATATAAGATTCATAAGCTCCTGATATTGGACATATAGGTGTCAAGAAGATGTCTGTTTGCTTTTTTTTTCCTGAACAGTTCTTTGAGTCATGTATTGTCCTGATACACAGTTTACAGGTGGAACATTATACCCTTGGTCACCCGGTCAACAGCAGCGCTCCTCTATCACCTCTATTGGGATACAGCACCATCTTGCAGAAGTGAAAAAAAGCCCTTAGACTCATGAACCACTCTGTCAAGTATGAGCTGAATCCCCTTGAAAAGTTAATGTTGAAAAAGTCATTGAATTCTGAGATGGTTGAGCACAGGTAATCACCTCACTTGAGGTGGAATGATCCATCTCTAAGCACCTTTAATTCACCTTTAAAGGGGCATTGCATGACTTAGGCAAGGGTGCTGAAAAAGAGCTGGCAAGCATTTCAGCACCTTGTAACTGTCAAATATCGATTGCATGTCCAATGTAATTTTTTTTGCTGAATTTATTAAAAAAACTGTTTCTCCCATAGAAAATGGTGGAGTGTTTTTTTTTTTTAACCACCCTATATAACAGCTTCTTTCTTAGGTACAAATGCTGATGAAAATGTAAAATGAAAAATGTTGTACTCTGCTTCTCTGCGAGCTTTGCTTTCTCCATGTGCAATCCTACTTAAAACACCCCTTAAATCGTCCTCAGCACATTTTTTTCCATCTTCCTTTTTAACATAATTCGACTGTCCATTTTCTTCTTTTCATGTCACTGTAGCCTTCAAGGAAATAAACATTTATATTCAAATAATTTAAAGAAATACTTATTAAATAATGCAAAATGAAGCTTGTTCAATTTTCTTTTGAATGATATATAATTTTGGGGGGTTTCCTTCAGAGAAATAGCCACCATTACAGTTTTTAAAAAAGTGAAAAAATTTTTTTCTTGAAAATGGGCTTTTACTTGAAGTTCCTTTTCCTCAACCTCAAATTTATCACCCACAAGCTCACAGACCCTTTTAATGACTGAAAAATGGTTCAATGTGCCCCCCTCCACGATCTACAACAGCCTCATGTTACTCCCCTCACGATCGCATGATCTCTCATCAACCAATCTGTATCATGCAGGGGCGCATGGGAAAAGAGGGTGCGTGGGAGAAACAGGCAACAGCAGCAGCGTGACCTTGGAAAGAACTCAGGAAATTTTTTCGGCACTTCTTTTTAAACTGTAATAGTGGTAATTTCTCTCTTGCAAACCCCCCAAAATTATATATCATTCGAAAGAAAATTGAACAAGCTTCATTTTGCTTTTTTAAAAATTGATATTGGCCCAAGTTATGAAGCTTCAAATTTGGGGCTTTTTTTTTTGGCCCACCCTATATTTTACCTTGAGAACTGAGCCTCTTTTTGAACTTTTGACTTATCTAGTTGGACATACAGTCATATACTGTGGCATGATATCATATGAAGATGCACCAATTGCGGCACAAGAAGCAAGGAACTGCCACAGATGCATTTGGTCAAGAAAACTGTATGCAATCACAGCACCCCTGATTTGATGCTCTGAATGGCAGGTATTAGCCATTACAGTAGTTCTTCATCTTAGTTTGATATCCCATGACTATTCAAGCATCAATACTTTTTCACAAACATAAGAAAAAGAAAATCAGTGGGTGGTTATTATACATGGGTCTTAGCTAAGAGAGACACCTGACTAGCTCTACAGGCAGTTTGCAGTTCCATTCATGCACTGTCTTGCACAAAAGAATTACCATGGTGACACTTGACTTTTTTTGCCAGATATTGATTGATTTTTATCATCATTACTCAGATGCCTTGCCTGTTGCCCTGACTCCTGGAAAGATGTACACGGGTTGAAAGTTCTGTGAATGCATCACTGCCGTGAATACCCACAGTTACCCTAGACTGTTGATGTAAGAGGAGTGATCAACCATAGAGTAAAGTGAACATGTGCTACAAGTGTGAAAAATGAGGTCTTACCTTGCAGGAAAAACATTGTATAGTTTTTGTGCACATGCATAAATAGTGCGAAAAAAATAATAGAATCCCCTTTTACCCTTTTTTATGAGGGATATTTACTTGTATTCAAATTTCATGCTGCAAAAATTTCTGGAGTACATCAAACAATGTCCAGGAAGAGGTGCACGGGCATATCCTCATGCACTCCCTCCTCATGTACTGCATATTTCATCCAGATGTCCAGTGCATCTATCCACACATCCAGAAGTGGATTGGGTACTCTTTTGCTGCCTGAGATCCCACATGAAAGGAAGCTGACACTACCAATAGGTCAGTGTGGTGCTACCATGAAATGAAGGATGTGTCCAAATTACCCCAAATCAAGATGGCCATATTCCCTCATATTGGCTTGCATTACAAAATTGACAACACTGTCTGCAAACTACAAGTGAAGGGGCTAGCACCTTCCACAAGCATTCTGGAGGGACCATAGAATAACTTTGAACAACAAATGGTTTCTGTATCCATGCTGCTATTAGGAAATATATACTTAACCCTTTAATGCATGATTTTTTACTTTTCAAAAAAAAAAAAAAATCTGGTAGGTTTTACTTACATCATAGAACATGGGAGAAGTGGAAAAAAAATTTTCCATAAAATTTGCAAGCAGTAGTTCTGAAAATGTTTTTGTTGCTCATTTGCTACAAACAGCATTTTCAGCTTTCTAATCCAGGCTGCATGGATGTTACAGAGCTCAGTCAGTCCGTCAACATTTGTACAAACCTCAACACAAGAGAAAATATAAAAATATGGAAGAGCCTAGACCCTGGATTAGCATAAAGTTTTAAAATAATTGCACCAAAAACATCAGTCGGTCACCAGATGATGCCAGGTGTCTTTAATTTGCTTGTCACTAGGAGTGTATGACACCTAGTGACTGCATGGTTGCTAGGTATAAGGACCGGACTGTTGTATATCTGCTACGAACCTATTTACCTCAAGAGCTCGCTACCTACGCAATTCAAATTTTTAAAATTTGGTATATAGCATATCTGCTACATCATCCATTAAAGGATTAAGTTGCTCAAGGCTCATATTAGTTTCAGGGTCATGAGTTAAAGAATTGCATGCATACGACTTTCAAAACATTGATATATCCTGAATTCCTGTGAGAACTGGATTAATGGACAGGTCTAAACATGTCAAAAATTGCATGTACTCAGAACCATTTTTTAAATTCACCCAAACTAATTATTCAGTCTGTTAGGGGATTTATTGTGAAGGGCCATATTCCCCCAAGTTACCCTATAACTAAATATAGTATAATTACACCATAGAACTAATTCATGCTTAAATTCAGCTTTCTGGGCCAAGTACTTTTTGAAGTACAGTGAATTTGAAAACTTGCAGCAAGGGAAGCCCAGCCAATTTTAACAGTGAGAAAAAGGAAGGCAAAAAAAGCTGACAGATACGGGGAAAAGCAAGGTGAAGTTCATTAAGGAAGGCTGGAAAGTGCTTGGCATGGAGGGGCAACTTGCAAAGACTTGCACAGGGAGTCCAGAAACTTGCAGGAGTTCCTCAAGTATGATGTCTCCTCATTTTGTTTCCTTCATTTTTTTTCTCCCTATTCAATAGGCTGGGCCATCACTGGAAACAGACAGAATACCCTCACAGGCATATTTGCAGGAAGAGGCAGTCACTTTCTTCTGCCAATTCCTGTCTTGTTTTTCTTTCTCATTAGATGAGATCATTCATTCCCATTCTTCCCTCACTGGATATTCAGTACACCAATACTTTCTGCAACTCCTGATAGTTCTGACTACCACAGGTGAAAGATCTAGACTTAAATTTCTGCACTAACTGGATCCATTCAGATTTCTTCTGGAACATTCTCATAGGATTTTTGGTTATTTACTGCCACATCATTGTTCATATCTTTTGATCCCATTACAATCCCATATTGAAACTTGGATCAAGGAAAATGTGAAAATTTCATGTTCAATTTATGAAAAGTAAGTTTTTTTTTCTAAATTCATAAATGGACTAAAGGAGGTCAAAGACCTCTTGATCTTTGACCCTCCCCCAGTCAAACTTCATGAAGCACATATAATGCAAAAGAGAATCAAAATAGCTTCAAAGTGACACCAATTTCATCTTTCTCATTAATTCAATTTGAACAAAAAGTATTGGCACTTGAGTGATGAGCACTGGAATTAAAATTGGTACTTTTTGGCTATCTTCAAATCAATGTGCCTCTAAGAATACTTTCTACCCCAAGGTGTTAACCCTCATTATATTGGCATTTGGTATAGCATCAGCCTCACTTATTTCCAATCTCTTCCTGTTGTCAAATCTCCCCATAAGCTTATGATAGGGAACATGGTTAATTCAATATGGCAGCACCCCATTTTAGCAACAAAATTGGAAATGACCAATAGTGGTGTTATATCAAGGGTTCAAAGTACTTCATCAAGGGAAGTGAAATTCTGCATGAATTACTTTAACAAACCCATGATACCATCAAATTTCATCAAAACCAGAGGTCAGGTCAACTTTCATGTTATTCGCATTCATTTGATATGGAATGACCCCCAATATGTGACTCTTCTGACCAATCCTCAATTAACTTATAGAGAAGAAAGACATATACAGCCTTAATTCACTTAAAAAGGAAAAGAAAAAACATGGCAACTACAATCTAGATATGAGATAAGCTATTAAATGGGGGATCTGGATATGCATTAACAACTTAAATCTGGACATAAGATAAGCCTCAACATAATGGCAGCCTAAGCAAGGTAGAGGGATAGTTGAGACAAAGACCAATTGCGAAGGATGTCATAGACGTGTCCCCGGTCATTGATGGTGATAAAGAGACCCCGGGGACGTCGATAGATGACCCCAAACTTCTGACAGGCCAGGCCGACAGTTGGGGTGTAGACGATGGGCATCATCTCCTCTACATTCTCTGACAGCAGTCGATAGAAGAGCCTCTCATTCCGGTCTTGAAGCCCAGCAAGGTAAACGTATTTGTTCAGGTCTTCCTGGTATCGATTCAAGTTTCGTTTACAAAGTTCCACTTGCTCCTCCTGGGTCTTGAATCGAGGTGGGAGGAGGCCATGGATCCCCAGTCGCTGCCTCTCCTCCAATGTGAATGCCATCCCCTGTTATTGTTGAAATTCATGTCAGTCAAATACATGAATCCTACACACACCAATGTGAGCACTTGTTGCCCCCCCCCCCCCCCAACTCCCCCATGTTTCATTTGTCAATCAGTACAAATGGCCCTGCACGTACAACTTAACTACAGTGATGACACTTTGGTAGGATCTCCTAATCTGGCCAGACCTTTTTTCAAGTCAAAAATCCATAATTCCTTGTCATCATTACCTTTTAAATTTCAGGCATCAAGGTAGCTTTGAAATATACTTTTCTTGAATTGAATGATAAAATTTGGCACAATAGTAGGTCCAGTATTGCAATTTGGCTAATGCAAGTTGTCCTTAAAGATGTTCATTGGGAAAGGCCAATGTCATTGGTATTGTTATTTTTTTCTAGAAAAATTCTTACTTACACTTAGGAAAAGTTGTGCTGTTATATTTGGCACAGATGCAACTCTAAGATAAATAAGGGAAAATACAAGTTTCAATTTGAAATCTTCAATAACAAAGAGACAATAAATGTTGAAGAGAAAGAAAAGCTGTGAAAGCAGAAGTGGCTAGAAAGGCTTTCTGTACACTTGCTAGCTTTGCAAGGACCTCCCCCACCTCCTTTCATCTCTGGTAGGTTGCAATCCCCTACTCCATTGGAAGACTGAGCATGGGAAGCTCTCACATTGACTATTTTGTAAGTAGGAACTCAGACAAATAGAGTCAGTTAGTGTCAAGGAAAGGAAATGGGACCCAACTCAGACAATTAAGTGGCAACTGGTCCCATTCAAGATATATCAGGAGTCCTCCACATCTCATTACTGCACATTATCCTTCCTTTTTTCTCCTAAAAACCAATAGTAATGTAATGGAAGTTATAACTCTTCTCAAAAGGGTTGTTCCACAAATCCTAGTAGATCAAAGCTGCCTGCTTGTTTCAACTAAGGGAATTGACTATGGAGGGACAAATTATTAAAGCTAGTACTTATAGGAGTACAGAGTACTGAGTACTGAGTACCTGGAGTACAGAGAAAGGAGTCTACCTTGTTGAGCCGTGGATCCCTGAGGTAGTCAAGCCCTCGGACCTGGGAGGGGCAGACATTATCGCCAGCCACTTCATGGAATTTCCTTGAGGACTGAAGATTCAAGATGGGTGGCTGACCCAAGTTATCCCATTTGCCAAGTGATCCATCCACCATCCCACTGGCTAACTGCACTCCCTGCTTCCCCTTCTTCCCCACTGACGATCTAAGTACATGGTAAACACAAAACAAAATGGGAATGAATCAAATGATTCCATCCACCCACTTATCAACCTCAACCAGGTTCACACTCTAAAGTAATTTCCAGGAATGGTGCTGAGCAAGCCCCTCCCTTTGGCACTGTATACTAAAGTCGATCTTTCATTTCTTCCTCAATTAGTTTCCATTCATGTCTATTGTGGGACAAGATCAGGATAGTCAGAAGGAAAACAACTCTGTATGTGTTGTTGCATCTTGTTGTTCATACAGAATGCATCACTCACCGATCCCCTACCTATACTCCCTGTGGCTCATGACAGAGATGAAGGAGCTGCAAAAAATGGGCACAAAGTTCAGTTTGGATACCAGCAGTCTTCATGATGTTCCCCAATAAATATTGGAAATGCCAATCTATTGGTAGCACAGTTCTTATAACTGTCCCTTTAGTTTTCTACAATAAACAATTTAGAAAGAGTCTATAGATTACACAGAGAGCACACACATTAGAACAGGGGTGCACAACATACAGCCCACAAAGCCCTTGTCTATGGCCTGCCATGACTGGTGGTGTTGTAAGTGCTACTATGGTTCCTGTCCTGTTGGCCAGAGCTATGGTCAGCCAGCTGAGGTCTGCAGTAGGTGAGTAAAAATCACAAATGGCCCTCATAGCTTTTTGAGCTGAGGAACTCCTTTTGGCAGGAGCCAGGTATTGTGATATCTTCAGTCTCCCTCTTTCTTCCACCATAAGATGCACTCTTACTTTTTCCTTTCCTTTCCTCACTCATGCTTAATCCTCTTCATGCATAGCTTGCAGGATGCATGGTTCAAATCAACTGTAAATATTTGAGGCAGCAACCAATTTGAGGATCTGCAATATAAAAGTCTCAGTTCACAGAGGAAATGAGCTAACTACAAAAGGGGCTCGTTTCTCCCAAGTAGTTGCACAACTGGATGAGTCTACCTTGATAAGGCTTGGCATTAATTGCAGCAGACTAATATGGGGTTCAATTGAGGTAGACCCCTCTGCAAAGGGGTTCCTTTGACAGTTAACAATATTTATGCTGTAAAATATTGTTGGTATGAGAATAAATTCAAGTAAGACTGTCATATTTTCCTCCAGTGTGTTATCATGGTTCCAATGATATCAAACATCAGACAAATACATTAAATTTAAGAAAAAAATGTAATGTCAAAATGCACTTTGCCATAAGGAAACCTCCCAGGTGTACAAGGCTGTCCCCTTATCAAATGTGAATCCTGTATATGATGCCATGATGGTGTTATACAATGACTATACACATAATACAATCTGTGAAGATGCAGCAAAGAGTGGCAGCACATGCTGGACATTCATATGGCTAGCACATCACCATTGCCTCTTTTTTATTGACAAACAGAACTAAATATTATGCATTTGGGTCAGAGGATCATTGGGTTCCACAAAGCCACACTGATAGTTGACCATGCTGTAATGAAGACCTGGCATGAGGTGAGAGGTAAAATGTGATGCCATCCAGACATAGATATCTTGACACTCCCCAGAAGAACATTTTCCCATAGGATGTCTCACAAGTCTTAGAGTTCAGGTTCTGCACATGTACCAGAAGCTGCACCAGATTACCCTATTGATCCCTCCCCCACCCAAGGAGTGAGTTGAAGGCATCTGTGCTTATATTTCCCCTTGCTAAAAGCAAGATAAGTAGGTTAGGCTACTTAGGAGAGATTTACCTCAACACTCTAGGTCTAGCATCATCACATGTAGGGGGCACCACACATTAGTTGGAATAGGCACCAGTGAAATGTTTGAAATGTCCACTGTCTTTCTCAAAGAGAACATCCACTAGTGAAATCAGATGACAGACAGAGGTAATAGGGCACCTAGGTATATTGAGTCCTTCAGTTCTGCTTGTTCTCCAGCAGTTCAACTTTTACTAGCAACTGGAATAGGTGCCCCTACAGACTGAGGACTCCTACATGTGAAGACAACGGATTCAATTCTCCTTGTGGTGTCTTGAAATGCTCTACTAAAATTCCAGGCTATTCAACTCAAATGCTGAGATAAACCCAAGAAACTATCCATCTTATTAGTCACCAAGTACTTCCACAATGCATGTGGACCAACCAATAAATCTGCAGTCTCCAACCAGACATCCAGGCTTCTCAGACACGGCTGAGAAGGCTGAGAATATGGTGTTCGGGATGATGGTGAAGTGGACTCAGAAACTAGTTAAAACAGCAAAAATCCCATCACAACACGTCATGCCTGACTCAGATGAGTGCCTCGGGGAGGGATTACTTACCAAATCGTTCGACCACTTCAGCACAACCTTTCCCTTGAGATGAGAGCAACCACCATGTTATGCCCAACTTAGCTTAGCTTAGGTTGTTTAGATGTGGCCACTTCAGTAGCATAACAGCTTCTTCAAACAAAGTGGTGGGAATGCAAATGCAAGAAGTAATTCAAAACATACTAAACATTTCACGCTACAATATCAATTGGATCAACCTATCAATTAAACAATTAAAGTCTAAATTATAAAAAAATCAATAATAATGCAAATTTAAATAGATCCCAAACGTCTTCTCTAATTGACCCAACCAAGGTTAGGTGATACATTCATCATTCATCATCAGCACAATATGGAAGAATTCCTGATGGAAAATAAGAACAAGAGAATTGCTTATGCTCATGTGGTGAAGACCAGGGATGTCATGAAAGCTTTTCTGAATGCTCCTGTTTTCCTTGTCTTTCTTTGAGGAAGTTTTTCTCAAAATTAGAGAATAATTCAGAGACATATCATTTTTTAATCATGCTTAATGACATCTTAGAGCATGGCTAAAAAAAAGTTCCGATAGGGTAGATATGTAATAGGGGGGTATGTATGTAAACAGTTTCTGCCTGTATTCTGCCAACTTGGAATAAAAAATTTAGTTTAACACAACTAAACTTGATTGAAACTTGACTCCTTGATTCTGATGAAAAAGAGAGACAACCAGAAATCTCATTTTTTCCAAAAATGGCTTGAAAAAATTTAAGAGTCCCGATTGTTTACTAGATACTGATATTTTCAATAAATACATGCTCCAAGTCTATGAAAAATTTTAAATGGCCATTTTTTCAGCAATATACATATCACAAATCAACAACCAAAATGCACATAAATCAGTGAAACATGCACCCTAAAAATAAAATGCCACCAAAAAATGAGAAAAATGTCCTACCTAAAAAGATCTCATACAGGAATTATCAAAGAGAATTCAAGCATGATGCACAGGGCCAATACCATGAACATAGGACTAATAGGTCTTTACACTCTGTTTGGACATGCATGACGGCCGTTTGTGGCATCGAAGATACTGAGTGTATGTGAATGCATGATGTCCACATTTGTAGATAGAGAAGCTCAGGGAGCTCAAGTAGCAAACATGTCAATGAGGAACTTTTCATAGCCTACAGGATTCTCTCACAAGTGCATTCCAATGCTTTAACAATAATTCCAAAAATCGTTCTAAGCAAATAAAATGACAGAGGCAGCATATGATTGCTAATGGATATTATACTGCACAAAAATATTTAGGAAACACCAAAAACTGGCATAGTACCTCATCTCTGAATTTAACCTGATAGTCATGATGTCTGGAAGTATGAATAAGATGCTAAAATGAAGGGTTGGGGCTGAATGGGGCTATAGAATGAATTTTATGTCCACAAACATGGACACAGAGCAACAGAGGGTTAATGTTTCATAACAGAAGAATTCAGCTTATCAGAGGTGGTATGAAAAAAAGGGGAATCACCAATGCTCTAAGAAAGCCATATCAAAGCTTTGCTCAAGGGCTTCAAAATGTAGCTTTCATAATAGCTGATGCTAATGTTTGACCAGCAGGAAAAGTGGCTGATGTATCAGCCTTTATTCATGCCAAAAACTGATATTTGACTAGCAAGGGAATACTCACATGAATCTGATATATAGGGTGATTTAGAAAAAAAAAAAGGAGCCATACTGTTTTCTATGGGAGAAAGTAAGATTCATAAACTCTTGATATTGAACATATACAAGGTGTTGAAATGATTGTCTAGTTTTCTTTTTTCATGACAATTCTGAGCCATGCATCATCCTGTTAACAAAGTTTACAGGTGGATCATTACACCTCAAGTGAAGTAATGGTCATGTTTTACCATCTCAAAACTCAATTAAAGTAGTTTTCCCAGTTCTGGCCTTTAACTAATTCTGACCATATTCATATTTATAAATTGGCTTCAAGGCCATATCTTTTGAAAAGGCTCTCAGATGCAACTGATATTTGGCAGAAAGGCTCATGGGCCTGTAAGGTTATTTTTCCTACCCAAAAAGTGGCATAGCATGAAGAAAGGGGGGGGGGGGGGCTCTCTGGCTGATGACAGCACCCTCTATTTGCATATGGCCATTTCATGGTATGTGAAAGACTCATGAACCTCTCTGTCAAGTATCAGCTGCATCCAACTGCCCTTTGAATAGTTATGGCCAATCAAACTAGGGTGGTGACATAATAATAACCATATTAACATCTGGGGGTTGGGGGCCATGTTGTACCAACATCACCAAATTAAAATTCAATTTCTTGGCCTACACTTGAAATACAGACATGTTTTTTGCCTGTTGGCTATTCTGAAAATAATTGTTTGCCAAATTTAACTGAATTCTGAGATGGTCGAGCATAGATTATTACCTCACTTAAGGTGGATTGATCCACCTCTTTTTAAATTTAAATTTTTAATTGTAGACATAAAGTTTGTTGCAAATTGAGAAAATTGGAAAATTTTAATTTTTAATTGAAAAATTGAAAAAAACTGCCATGACAGAGTATGCCATCAAATGATAGTAAGGGGTTAACTGGGTTCCATTATCTGAAGGGAGGTTTTTTTTTTTTCTTTTTTACAACTACGGCTGAAACATTTGACACTGAATCATAAGTACAAATGATATGTAAGTCAATTTTTAGTCTTTCTTAAGAAGTATTGCATGTTCAAACTTAAACAATTAAAAATTTAAATTGCTGACAAAGTTTGTTTCAAATTGAGTGGCAAGGTTTCTGTTACCCCCTTCTTTTGTTGCCTTGCAGCACTGGTTCAAGCTAAGTAGGTAGTGACTTTTTTTTTTTTATCACCTCATACATAGGTTTGTTATATGGTCTAGAATGCAATCCATGGACCAAGAGGCAAGAGGACCATTGTTTGAGATAGAAAGCTATCAGATTGGGTCAAGATCATAGCAAAAAATATCAAGGCATGAAGTACATTTGAAACTCAACATACAACTAATAATCACCATTCTCATCATGTTAACAGTCTCCAAAAATAAAACTGAACTTCAATGTTAGAAAAGAATATATTTTCCACACATTTGCAAGTAAGGACAAAAGATACAAAAGATGAGGGCAAAGACAAAAATAAAAGACAACACACACATGCACAAGGGAAAATAAATAGAATGCAAATGCAAACAGTAGGCAATAAGGATATCCATAGAACCCCTTGGGTTTTCCCTGGGGGATCAGGTTGAGATACAAAAATGATTATTTTTTTCATGGACATCCAGTCATCTGAATCAGCTAATTATGAAGGAGGTGGTTGCTGTATTAGATTCTTTCCATTAAATAAATGAATAAAATCTGACTTTAAAGATTTTAATTGATTCTGCAACCTTCATATCATGTCAGTTCATTAAATATTCTTAGCCATTATTGTACAATAATTTGTTCTGCAAATATTATATTTGTTCTGGAATACCAGAAAAAAAAAACTAATACAAACATAGGCATCCAAAGAACAGCCATCTCAGGGTCTGGGAGAATATTCTTAATAAGAGCTAGCATAAAATTAGTTCAAATTTTATACTGCTTATGCCCTATTGTCTTGTAAATTACCAAGTTGTAGGGTTTTAGATGTTCCCGTGGTTCTTTGTCAGGTCTCTGCTTGTATGCTGATGTCTTTGTGGTACCACATGACCATCATGCTATGTAGCATTGTCTATATAGTGGAAATAAGTAAATGTTACAATCTCCAGGACAATGCCTGAAATTTTTGCTGTCCACGAACATCTTAAAAGTCAAGTAATTTATACCTTATGGGCTGCATGCATCACATGTAGGCTAACTTTTTCAAATTCAACTTTTACACTTCATTCGATTTTAGCTTGTGGCTCTTCCAGCACCCTTAGCCCAGATGTTCCTAGTGTCCTTTATGTAGCACAGTGAAAATAGCGTATATATTAATTACTGGAAAATGTTCTACTTGCAGCTAGATGGCTCTTGCATGACTGAAATCACAATTCATTACTTCTCATTTCACCAGTCAAGAGTGGGATTCAAGCTCTAGCCTTACTGCATCAACAAGAGCAAGTTCAAGTTCAAATCCACTCTAGACATTCTCATGCTGTAACAAAAATAAGTTAAGTTTCCATTATTTTACAATAACTTGGAAAAAGGACAAGTACTGACTTAATTGTAATGCTAAGATATGTGAGTATATCAGAGCAGTTTTCAAAATGAAATCTTGTTTTGGGAGCTGATATTAACAAGTTTTTGTCAGTGTCATTCACAGTGGATGTTAGGAACATCCATTATCGTTTTTTCTTGTTTGAAATCTTGTGATTATTTGCTTTTACTTCAATAATTTGACTCTTTTAAATACTTTTTGCCCTATTCATCCTAAAAATACAATTTAATTTACATATAGAGGCCTTTTAAATTTATTTTCCTCACGTCACTTGCCCTGCATTATACTTTATCAAAGAAATTAGTTCAAGCACATCTGTGTAAAGAAAATCCATTGCTTATGCCTAACGTTAGACATAACCTTGGGCGTTACTTTTTGGTCCAATGCTAGTTATGCCTGCACCTAAACCGACACCTAGCAAGAAGACTTCAGGCCTCTTAGGCCTATGTCCTCATCCCCTTCCTGTACTTGTGAGGGTGTAAACATGATAATGATTGCTCATGAGGAGTGCACTCACATGAAGAACCTCGTGTTGACCCCAAACATCGTGTCGACCTAACGCTAGGCTAGCCTAGAAGGCGTCGAAGGTCGGAATCGGAAGCTGAGTTGATTCTGCAGGGAAAGAAGTTGTTGCTTCGGACTGGCAAAGATCCAAAAGGGGTGAAGGGTGATCACGGCTATGTACGAAGGGAGTGCGTCACTGGTCCTCTACTCGTTCTTCCGTTCTGTTCGCTTCCTCCTGTGGGCACGAGGGCTCTGAGGTCGTGGGGTCGCCGGGGTCGCGGATCTTCCTTTGCCTCTGCGCACTCATCTACTCTTTCCAACGGGTTGCATTACATCAACTACCGTGTTTGACATAGCAAGGACTCAGAGCCTTGACTAGAGAAGCAAACATACCCGGCAGATTGGAATAAATTTGTCCGGATGGAGTCAGCGGACAACCGGTCAACCTTCATTTTAGTTTCTGTTGCCATTCATATTGCACACTCCAGCCTACTAGCTCAATAAGAGTTGACCAAATTTTACGAAAGGGTTTCGCGTCCCATGACGATGCAACTAATAGTTGGCAAAAGGAAGCTTTTCCCGCAAAACCCAGGCGCTGATTTTCAAATGACTTAAGGAGCATTGGCATCATCATCCTTATATGAAAAGAGTCAAGTCTGGCGCGCACTAATCGCCAGGGTCCTCCACAATAACTCGTACGTCGTTCAGTTGAGAAGTGGGGCCTTCCTTCCGCTCCTCAACCTGTGTCAGTGTCGTGAAGGCGGGGAAGCTTCTTGCACAATGTTTTCTTGTACGTGATGGATGGGAAAAGAAATCTGGCTTTTACTGCCTCTACACTTTAAGCTCTGCAGCCATCATATGACATCCATAGCGCATTCAAATTGCCGGAGCTCAAAGTGTTAATGAGAGGATGGTCAGCTTCTGTTTCTCCTGTTTAGATGCTCAAAAAATCCGTTAGCAGCGGGAAGAGGAATCGGCCTTAAGCGAGCTTGGCAAGGATTTTGTGGGCTCATTTCCAAAGGAAAAGAGTGCTCCTTACATCCACGTACCCCACTCACCCGATTGGGTGAGGGGAAGACCAATACATGTTTAGCTTGAATTCGTCCTCACGCTTGGCTCGGGTTCAGGCCTACGATAGGCTTATCCAGAAGCTCAATGCGAGCCGCTCTAAAGAAAGGCTTGCAAGGCGACAAAAGGTTATGCTAATGGCATGTTTGACCTGGTAGCCTTTCAGGCCTTGGTCTACAGCAGACTTGCATTGAATAGGATTCTGTTCACCATTGTCTGATGCGCTTTCCGATGCAACTTGGATCCTCCGCCATGAGCGAGCAGAAGATCCAAGTTGCAGCTTTTGTAAGGTGACCAGACGTCCCGATTTAGACGGGACTGTCCCACTTTCAGACCATATGTCCCAGTGTCCCCGATGAAGTAGGCGGGACGCCCAAACGTCCCGCTTTTGGGAATGTCGAAGAGAAAATGACATGGCGGTCGAATTTCTTCCCTTGCAAGTTTCAAAACTTCTAAAGATATCGCATCGAGCCAAAACTAGCGAATACAGTGGAAACCGGTTAAGTGCACATCGACCCGGCAAGAAAATTTTGTGCACTTATGCGGTTTGTGCACTTATCCTGGTTTTGCTTAGATACATTAATCCTGGTTCAATTTTTGCTCAAATAGCTATTGATTAGTTATAGAAAACATTTATTGTCACTAAACAAAACATCATTTGAAATAATCGGAAATCTTTTTCTGGACAAAGTTTTCAGAAGACAGATCACAAACTTGATCCTCCAGTGCATCCACGTTGTTCAGGTCAACATTTTTGTGCTCAAAATAAGCACGGAGGACGGTCAGAGCTGCCAGTGCATCCTTGCGACTGGGCGGGGGTGGCAGCACTTGCTGCTGTGCTTCTTCTCCTTCCTCATCATGATCGTTTCTCTGTTGACGGACTTCTTCCAGAATTTCCTCGGCAGTCAACTCGCCGTAGCAGTCCAAATTTGCATCGCATTCAACGAAATCATTGAATTCGTTCTCTGGAATTTGCAATTGCACCACTGCTTCTTCAACTTCTGATTCTTCTTCCTCTGCCTTTGAAAATCCTGCCTTTCGGAAGCAATTTCGAATGGTGGTTGGGGTCACTAACCACCAAGACCGTTTGACCATGTTCAGCGCTTCCAAAACATTAACTGTTTTCGCAAACTGCGGCAAAGAGAGACCTTTTTCGAGGGCAAGTAGCTGTTTTCGCACTTTCGGCGCTTCCAAAACATTAACTGTTTTCGCAAACTGCGGCAAAGAGAGACCTTTTTCGAGGGCAAGTAGCTGTTTTTGCACGATTTGCTGCCGATAATAGACCTTGAATGTACGGATGATTCCTTGATCGAGTGGTTGGATAACAGACGTTGTGTTCGCTGGGAGAAACTGAATTTTCACATTCTTCAGTATGATTCCTTCCTCCAACTTGTGACAAGCCGCGTTGTCGGCGAACAAAAGGACTTTTCTCTTCTGCTTAATCATTTTGCTGTCAAAATCCAGCAAAATTTTCGTCCACAAGGCACCAGTCATCCAAGATTTTGCATTAGCGTAATACGGCAGTGGAATTTTCTTTTCTCGGAAGCAGTGCGGCTGCTTTGATCGGCCGATGACGAACACGTGCTTATCTGATCCATCCATATTGCATAGAAAGAGCGTGGTCAGGCGATCCTTTTGTATTTTTCCACCATCTGGCTCCTCACTTTTAGCAGCCAACGTCCCACTGGGAAGCGCCTTGTAGAACAGACCAGACTCGTCTGCATTGTAGACGTCCTCGGGATCGTAGTCAGCCAACAGAGTGGGCAGCATATTCCTTATCCATTCAGCTGCACCCTTCTCACCTTGCAATTTGTGAAAGGTGACATTTTCTTTTGCCTTCCATCGTCCCAACCGGCCATTGCTCGGTTCGAAATCAAGAATGTCCAGCTTTAGTTCAAACTTCTTCCAGAATCATTGGGCCGCTAATGATAGCGTCCTTTGCCCTCATCTGCCGAAACCACACGGCAACAGCCCGATCAAGTTCTTCGTAGTTTCCTTTGCGCAATCGCTTCCTTGCAGTGTTTCCATTTTCAATAGCGACATTTCTGATTTTCTGTTCCTGCTGCACAACGCGTGCAATCGTTGACAAATCACATCCATACTGCAATGACAATTCTTTCCTGGTTTTAATTTTCGACTGTAGTGAATTCAGAATTTCGAGTTTCTGATCAATGCTTAGAGGTGAGTTTTCTTTTCGGGGCTGACATGGGTTCTCCCTCTCTCATACGACAGTCCGTTCAAACTGAATGTACAGATTCACTCAAAATCTACACAATAAAGTGCCAGCTAACCCTAGTCCTGCGGGTCCCGGAATACGTATTCCGTTTGGCTAATGCGCGCGGCCTACAAGGCAATTCCGCTCTGGGCCATAGGCTATGCCTCCCTGGGGCATGGACTAAAAACAAATTCGCAGTACTAGATTTAATTGTTATAGAATGACACTTTGAGTGACATTTGGGCGGGGCAATCTCCTTATGCACTTATCTGTGTACGATTCCATACAAAAGTTGCACACCGGGCTTACAAAACATGTGCACTTATCCGGGTTTAGATTATGTACAAAACATAGGACAAAAGTTCAGGGCATGGAGAATTTGTGCAGTTATCCGATTTGTGCACTGATGCGGTGTGCACTTAACCGGTTTCCACTGTAATAGTACGCGTCCACTTAAGGAATACGGTAAAATGTGTCATTTTAGGCACAACCATTTCTCGGGGGCATACGCAGGACGGGAGGGGGGATGGTTCCGATTAGGCTGACGAGCCGGGGAGGGGCGAGGGGTAACAACGCCTCCCGCCCCCTCCCTGAATGCGCCCTTGCCATCGGTATAGTACATGTCCACATGGTCAAGACCGTCTACTTAGGCCCACATTTATTGCGTAAAAAAACCCACACATTAAGAACTCCGAAACATCAAAAGTACTGAAGGTTTTTCAAGTCCGGGATAGATCATTACATTGGGTACTGCCGTCTGATCCCAGCGAGGATGTCCCAGAACGGAGTCTCGCTGTGAAGTCCCCTCCACCAATACTCGGCCAAGTGGGAGGTCAATGTTGCATTGAAGAAACCATTCTGCCTTCGCAGCAGGTTCGTCTTGAGATCCCTCCACTGTCGTTCCATTGCCTGAGTATTTGCGTCGGTGATCGGGTCAACGAAGTTGGCCAAATGGTTAACCGTCTGGTGGTGGTACCCCTGACCCCATTGGCTCAATCTTCTGTTGGCCGCCCACTCGTCCGACCAGACGGTTGTTCCAGGAAGGACTGTTCTAGTGAAGATTGGGCGGAGGGTGTCTGTGAAACATTTTTTCCTAATTTCCTTGATTTTTCGCGGCGACGTGGAACGGATTACATGATTTCCCATAGACGTCTATGGGAAGTCGTGTTTCGCATAACGAATACCTCGCATAACGAACGCACCGCTGGAACGAATTGCGTTCGTTATGCGAGGTACCACTGTACCATAGTTCCTAGATGCAAGACGATGGATGGGAGGTTGTCATCAGGAAAATTCACGAATACCTATCATGATAGATATTTTATACCTATCGTAATAGGTATGAAGATACCTATCAAAATAGGCCCTACGATGGATACCTATAAATTGTTCTTGCATACGGAACCTTGCAAATTATAGACCTATCGCCTGATACCTATTATGAAAGCTGACATGTAATAAGCTCTCAAGTGATAAGGTTCTTGGATACGGGCCACTAACAAGTTTGCGCAGCTCGATCAAGAAGCGCCCGAGCCTCCTGACCGATGGAGTCATCCTCCTACACGACAACGCCCGACCGCACACAGCGATGACACGCTGCGCACATTCACATCCACCAGATAGCCCAGATTTTCCTGCCCTGCGATTTTCCCAGATCTTTGGGGCACTGAAACAGGACCTGAAAGGCAGGCGTTTTTTGAAACAGAGAAAAGAAACCTTCGCGAATCCTACAGCCAAGTCTTTAGGGGGCTCCATTTTTAATCAAATACTTCCCATGTATCTGTTCAATAGCTAATCTCTTTCTCAATTTCATACGATTGTAAAAGCATGCTTTGATAGGCAAGTTTATAGTACTTCTTTTCAAAACGGAAGCACATGAAGCGGTAATATTTCAGTTCGAAGAGGAGTTAGTTTAGATGGAAAGACTCAGGCAATTCTAGTCCGAAGAGAAATTGGCGTACATTGATATCTCTTGTCCAGTTCAATAAGGGACAATCTGTGGACATTCTGCAGTTGTCATCTTGTTTCAAACTAACCTTCCTCAGCCAACTTTTGGTCGGTAAGATCTTGTGGACAAGCTTGTACTGAAAGATTCTCAAATTATTCTGATTTTTTTTGTTTGCTTGTTCTTATGAAAATTTTCTATTTTTTCCCTCTTTTTCTTCCTTCTACACGGTCTTCTTTGGACATCGGCACCGGCAGTTAGCAAACCTGCCGATGGTACCATACCGGCGGTTGCCGAAACATTGGTACAGCCCTAGATTCAAGTGACGTCCATGTAAAAAAATTCACTTTGGGTTAGGGTTGCCACCTTTGAATTTAACAAAATATGGACAAATATTCAAAATATACTCACAGCCACCTTAAGCCAAGGATCGATACTATGAGTGTGCCTACTGCTTTTGACTTATTGAAAAGAATGATATTAGCTACTATAAAGCTTTAAGTAAAAATATTAAGTTTAAAATATGGACAAGTCAGTGTCCATATTAGGATCAGTTTGCAATATGGACATTGCATCTGAAATATGTACTGTCCATACTAATTATGAACGGGTGGCAATCCTACTTTGGGTTCACTTCGAGTTCGATCATTTTGCTGTCAAAATCCAGCAAAATTTTAGTCCACAAGGCACCAGTCATCCAAGATTTTGCATTAGCGTAATACGGCAGTGGAATTTTCTTTCCTCGGAAGCAGTGCGGCTGCTTTGATCGGCCGATGGCGAACACGTGCTTATCTGATCCATCCATATTGCATAGAAAGAGCGTGGTCAGGCGATCCTTTTGTATTTTTCCACCTTCTGGCTTCTCACCTTTAGCAGCCAACGTCCCACTGGGAAGCGCCTTGTAGAACAGACCAGACTCGTCTGCATTGTAGACGTTCTCGGGATCGTAGTCAGCCAACAGAGTGGGCAGCATATTCCTTATCCATTCAGCTGCACCAGCCCGGTCAGCAGCACCCTTCTCACCTTGCAATTTGTGAAAGGTGACATTTTCTTTTGTCTTCCATCGTCCCAACCAGCCATTGCTCGGTTCGAAATCAAGAATGTCCAGCTTTAGTGCAAACTTCTTCGCTTCGCACTGTAGACGGCGAGGCCGGCCTCCCTGCCATCATTTACTTTCCTATTGCATGAACAAAGTGATACTCTTATACCTCGTAGTTGTCTGAGTCAGGGGAAGCCTCCAGGTTCTGACTTCCCATCCACGATTCCGGACAGGAGTCAACTTTCAGAGACTGGACTTGACTTGTTTTGCATTGATTGAGAATGAATTTAATGGTTCTCAGAGATTTCTTTCAGATATTTGATATCTTAATAGATGTTTTTCAAATTGCATGGGAAAGTGACTCCTGAGAATTTTTGAGGAGGCTGGGCCTCCCCCTTGCCAAAAATGTCAAAACCCCTGCTTGCTGCAGTAAAGTGAAAATGTCACAGAAGCGTTTTCCACATGTGATGCTGCTGACATTTTTTTCTGAAAACGGATGGACCACAACTCGGATGAAAGTCACGAATAACGTACAGGTTAACAAATTTCCAGTTGCATGCCTGCGCAGTAAAATCTGGGCTAAATCCCAAAATTAACTCTATTCATCTTTAGCTATGTTTCAAATATCGAATGTGCTTGTAATATTTATTGTTTAAATTCTGTTTCCACCATTTCATGGAATTTTTTGGAAGGACCACGACTCGGATGAAAGTCACGAATAACGTACAGGTTAACGAATTTCCAGTTGCATGCCTGCGCAGTAAAATCTGGGCTGAATCCCGAAATTAACTCTGTTCATCTTTAGCTTTGTTTCAAATATCGAATGCGCTTGTATTATTTATTGTTTAAATTCTGTTTCCACCATTTCATGGAATTTTTTTCGTTTCATTTTCTATGTTCGCGTGTTCGACGTCGTTTCACATTTTTCTCTTCTGGTGATTTGATAACGCCTTCTTGCATCTGGAGACATTTGAAAGACAAGTTATACGAACTTTCCCGAAACTCCCTCTTTAGGGCTGGTTGGTTAGGGCTGGTACTGTGGATGCACAATTAAATAACAGCTCTAATTCATGTTTGGCAATAATAAATACAATTGTCGGTCCAACAAATATATTCATATTCTTTTTCGAGAGACAAGGGGAAGTATTTATTGGGCGTCCTACTTTCGCGACACAGAAATCTGGTCACCTTAGTTATACGTTGCTATCCAACTTACAGCTAACGTTGGCCCAACGGTCACTTTCACGTGGGGCCTACGTAAATAACCTACGTTGGGCCGTCTACGATCTCGTTTCATACATACACTACGAACTCGCGCGATCTGGATGGCGTCAGTGTGTCCAAGCCTTGCATGATTCATGGTCTTGCAACCTAACAACTTTATTTACATCTTGAATCCCTTAATAGGCATTGTGTATATTGACCTGGCAACCAGTTTTAAATATCACTGATTATGGTGTCGTGACAAGTGCAATCTGTAGGCCTATGCCAAAGTCTCTGAATGGAGAAATGTAACGTTAGTTATGTTAAAACTTGTGAACCGTGACATCAATGGAGGAAGTTGACAGCAGAGTAGGCTTCATTGATCCCAACTGGCGATGAATGATCATATTGACTAGTAATTTGACTGGTCAATTGATGGTTACCAGTCAGTACCCCATCTCAAATCAGGTTCCAGTGGGCAAACAATTGGTGGAGGTAAAGGTTTTTGTTGTGTTGGTCATGAAATTTGACCCAAACCTTCAAGTAGAATTCCAATTTCATTAAAGTTTGTTGGGAGAAAGTGCAAGAGGGCAGGCATAATTGAAAGAAGATAAATTATGAAGTCAAATTTTTTTCATTCTGCATTTTAAAAATTGAGCTACAAGAAGTTAGTAATGATGATTGATTGATATGAAGAGGATGAGGGGTACTAAAGGTAGGAGTCCTCTGCTGAAATTGGACAGGATCCCTCAAAGGTTTTATTTGCCTCTTAGTATTGGCAAGCAAATGTATAGGCTGTATATATACTGCAAATATCAACTGTTACCCAACATCAAGGCAACTTGTTTATAATTCCCCACTATATTCTTGGGACTAGTGTATGTAGGCCTTGTGTTGCCTGTCAACTTTTAAGCCTTTAAAGAGTGAGTTTTTCTCCTTAAATGAACTTGGTTATGTAGTAGTCCACATAAATGTACACTTATTAGATATACATCCTGTATAAGACATTTAACACAAGCCAAGATCTATGAGTTAATTTCAGGTTGTTTCAATTTATTTTCAGACTCAGTCAAGTTACAAAGGTTGGGCCAGCTGAACCTCAAATCTTGGCCTGGCTTAGCTTGAGCTAGTTGAAAGGCACATGGCAAGGTGTGGGGACCATGATGGATGCTGTGATGGGGAAAGTCACACGAAAAACATAGATTTGGGATTCAAATATAGCCTTTATATGCGAATCGACAAGGAGAATGTTGAATGCCTGAATGAATCTGTTGAAGGGGCTGGGAAGAAGATCTTTAAAGCATGGGAAGAAAGAAAAGACAACTCAAAGGTAAGGTGGCAGCTGCAATAGCATTCCTATGCCTTAAATTTTGTCTTATCATGGCATGAGGAGTGGAGCTTACACAATCATACCTTGTCTTGAAGGCATTTTATTGTATTCTGAAGTAGGACTTACTAGAGAGGAAGACTAGGAAATTCCAGATGTTTAAATTATTAAGTATCATTGTAAGGTTTCAAGATTTGAAAGAATTAATTTCAGCATTCTAGTTGTTGATAGGTCTACATTGTTGTTTCTCTGGCCATTGGTGGTCTACATACCAAGATGTCTAGAATATCCAAGTCCTAACGTTCTCTGATAACCATTTTTAACATTTTTTTTGGAGACCTGACATGAATTAACTTCTTTCAACCCCTTCCTTGGTGACACCACACCCTCCCTGATGATTCCAGGAAAAGGATGAATTCCACCTACTCCAAGGAAAGGGTTAATCTCTTAAACCTCAAAGTGACAGAGACAGAGATGTCATCAGGGAATGACAAATCTATCTGACTGTTGCCAATGGAGTGGATCAAAAACTTGCTTCTGAAAAAATTATACAAATCCACAGGTTTCAAGAGAAATTATTTTTTCTCTCCCCAGGAAGAGGAAAATATTTTGTGTTAGCCATCAATAGCCAATAAGCAAGTAATGTAAACCCTTTAAAAATCTGGGGCTAGTAAACCAGTTAAGGGCCATGTCACTCTGACCAGAGGAGAGTAAGTGTAAAAATGCTGGCTTATGAAATGCATGCTCACACAGATTGAAATTGAATTCCTTAGAAAGTATATACAGGGTGTCTCAAAAAATGTATACACACTTGAATCAAGAGTATATACTAAATAATTCAGAGGGACAATGTTTGATGTGACATGTACAGTACCTAACAGATGACAATGTGTAATGGAATGATCGCGTGTCATCAGGCAATTTTTTCCCACAAGACAGTGTCATGCCAGATGACGCAAGCTCACATGACCTTAGAGCTATGTAAGTTGATTTTGAAGTGATTCTGGAAATCTGAGAACACATGTGAAGTGCAAAGAAGGTGGAGAAATGAACTTGCAACTATGCCACCATAATGTACTAGAACTTTCAAGAATTCATGATAAGTTTGATGCTGATGGTACAGTGCATGGTCTCCCAGAATATTGCTAGTACGGTAATGCACAATGTTCTGATAGACCTCACACATCAACAGGTGGGGAAAATGCTGCTGTTGCAATGCAAGCATTCACATGATCACATGAAATTGAGGAGTTCCGCTATCCCAGTGGAAACCTGTCCACAAGTTTGTTGCACTGTTGCTCACTGCTGTCAACAGTGCCTGGATGCTAACGGTGAACAATTTGAACATCTGTGGTAGTGAACCATGCAATTCAAACCCTTGCTTCTCCACACACTGAACATTGTACCTCTCTGAATTACTTAACATATATTTTATTATTATTAAAGTGTGTATACATTTTTTTGAGAAACCCTGTTTAGGGAGATTGAAACAAATAACTTTTGTTGCTCATGTGCAGTGCATATACATAAATTGTTGTTGTGCAATGAATTCCAACCTAGCTAAAATTGTTGTTTGTGGTATTTTTGGCTTCCTGGAAAGAGTATTAATGAATTGCTGATGAATAAGAAAATTGAAAGCAGAATGACTTCAGAAGGGCCTAGAGGTTGATCAATAATTGTGTTCTCTTTGGTGACTAAGTACCTATGCATGCAATAATTACTAGGTTCTAGACTACTAGATGGTGTTTGTTGATGCTGTTTTTTAGTGCCACCATTGTTGGTGGTTGTAGGTGGTGGTTGTAGAACACTTGGGACTTCAAGTACTCCCAAAAGAAAAAGTATGGAGCAGACAGTTCTGGTAGCCCTTCCAATGTCACCAAACTGAAAAAATACATGATAGAAAAAATGCTTGGGCAATATATCCATCATTTTCTTCAAATAAAATATTATTCCAACAAGATGGCACAACTTGTCACACTGCTAAAAAAAACAAACAAACAAAAAAATACTTTTTTGTGCAAACATGTCATTTGCCAATTTGGCTACATTGCAAGGCCCACCAGATCTGTCTGCTTCATATTTTTTTTGTGGGGCTACTTGTGTTCTGCAACTGACCACCAACAATGATGGCACTAAAAAACTACATAAAAAAAACCAACCCATCTTCCAAGTTTAGGCATGAAATAACAGGCTTCCTGATGACATAAAAAGCTTGAATCCCTGTTTCTGAAGTTCTTGATGAACAGTGGCACAACTGCATGTTTCTTTCCCCTATCTCTTTTCAATTGAGACACCAAAGAACTGACACTTTCCTTCTTTCCAGCCAATTCTGCAATCATGTTTCAGATCTGTTTAGCTCTTTAGCTATCCAGGATCATAAAATGAAATTTTCACCTGCATCGCAAGCTTCAAAAAAGTTATCCCTTGTGTGTGATCAACAAATTAATTTTTTCACTGTCATAAGGCATCTGGAAGGAACAAAATACTTCAATAGTGCAGAAGTTGAATGAGAATTCTGAGTATATATTGCTTTCCTTCTGGTTATCATAGTTTTCCCTAGAGAGGAGGGTGCATCTATTTGAGGCACCTAGTGTATGGTAGAAATGTTTCAAAGATGGAGCTTCACCTAGACAAGGCATCAAGCTACATTGTGAAATCCACAGTGGCATTCCTCCATAGTTTGGAGAGCGAAATGGGAATGGAGATTACAAGGACACCCTATACGTGTGAGGGATCTCATCTCAGAGCAGAGGAGCCAGAATGTCCTTTAGGTAATACTTGACCTTCACCTTGCCTTTGGGATTCACTCTGGGGAGGTTGAGTATTCCACAATGGTAGAGGGCACCAACCATGATGAAGCCTGTGAAAAACTTCCTTGCACCAAATGTACCACTTCTGCAAGTCCCAACATCCCTTCTTGTGGTAATAGGCTACCCAATTTTTGCCACTGTCACTCAAATACACAGATTTCATATGGAGTCACAAGATATTTGAACTTTTCCCCACCAGGTGGTGCTTGTATAACTTTTGGCAGTTGGTTTTTTCTTTCCCTTATGTGTTTCTCATGAAGAGCATGCACCCTGACTTGCACTTTGATCATAGATTCAAATCTTGCCTAATGATATTGGCCTTTTCTCCCTTAGACACTTAATACTTCTTAGCAATGGCCCACTGGGGGATTGGGTTCTCTTACTTAACATAAGCATCTATTACAGTGTTTTTCACTTGAGTTAGACAAATTTTCACTTGACTTGGACACGTGTGCATGGAACGTTCCTCTTGCATGAGTATCGAAGTCAAGTGAATAAATGTCTGACTCAAGTGAAAAACACAGTAATAGGACAGGACAGGATGCGGTTTTTGACCACCGTGCAGTTGAACATTCCAATGTTCACAGATGTCTTGCACAATGCAACACACTGTTGCTTTAGAAATTGACCACCCTTATGCAGCACACTTTCCATGATAGAATATGAATTTCCTTTAAAAGAAAGTGTTTGTACATACAGTGATGACATAAACTGTCCTAATGCTTCCTAATTTTGACTTTGTGCTACCATAACTCTCCAGCAAGATAAGGTATCTGAAACTCAATACTCTCTCCTGAAAGCAATGGTTATTCTCTTTAGCTTGACATAAGCAATTAGTCAATTGGTTCACTATATGCTGCATAATATAAGATTTAATCAAGCTTGCCCATTAGGACAGTTTCTGTCTCTTTTATTTTATAATCATAATCACAAATTTATTGTAGTTGATGTACTTTCTGTTAGTTTTCAGTGCTGACACAACTCTCCTCTGGATAATGCTTTGAATCAGTTTGACACATTCTGATCTGTGAATGATGCTCTGTTCACCTTCAACTTGCGACTGAAACTCGTGCATGTGCCTAGACCCAATCTCATGCCCGTTTAGGTATCCCTACAAATGATCCTACAAGTTCTTGCTGAATGATGGCAGGCAATCCATGAGTTTGATGGTTTTGTTTCTGAAACACTTATAAGGCTTTTTTTCTGTATGCCTTGTATCATTCTTCTTTTGGAGGATGACTTGATTCACATGGAGCTAGCTGGCAGTAGTTGGTGGTTCCATTGAGATCGTCTTTGAGGATGTGACTGTAGAGGTTGGTGTTGAGTCCACTATTTATTCAGCACAGATTCCTATCCCCCCCCTGGCCTTTGTGCATCCCCAAACTATCAGAGATCCACAGCTATGTTTGATGGTGGGTTGGACATGCTGAAGATATCTGGGTACTTCAGGTAGTTGCCCACACAATTGTTCATTGGTTCCAAATCTGTTAAATTTATTCTCTCATCTAACCAAATGACAGGTTTCAACTGGTCTTCCATCCAACTGTTGTATTTGAGTGGAATATATAGTTGGGCCTTCATGTGTCTTGACAAGAGCAAACATTCTTGACCTTGGGTGCAACCTTAAAACAATCCTTGTAAAGCAAGTTCTTAAACAATCAGGCACTGGCATTGGTCTTCAAGACTGTTATCAGCTTTCAGTGCTTTGCTGCAGCTGTAGGAACTGTACCAGAAGGAACTTGTCTTGCAATTAAGAGCTTCTGGCAATGTGAAATTTTGGCTGAATGAATCTTGGCCCACCTTTGACTTTACTGCATTTGAAAATTCTTTTTTTTGGTAACCAGAAAGAATACTTCAAGAAACATTTAGAATGAGAGAATTTAGAGATTTGATGTGTCAAGCAGCCAGCTTTAAGAAGTTTAGACAATTTGAGATACAGTTTCTGAGGAGGTTGGCCTCATGTTTACTGAGATAAAGCGTAGTGGATGATAGGCTTCCTATAAAATTTTAAAGTCCACAACCTATTAAATGACAGCACATGTGAATTCCATCTGGTACACCCAACTTGAGACTGATCGATTTATATATTGAAGAGCAAGACACAAATTAAGACAGAATAGGAAAAAAGACAGGAAGTGTCCTAATGAGTGAGCCTGATTCAATCTCTTATTATTCAGTATATAGCAGAGCAATTAACAAGGGGCTTGTGTTGAACAAAAGAGAAAAAACCCCCTTGCTATCAGGAGAGGGTATTGAGTTTCAGATACCACATCTCGTTGGGGAGTTATGACAGCACTAAGTAACAAGAACAAAACATAGGGCATTTATGTCACCACTGTATTTCTCACCAAGTTCTTGCTATTATGCCATTTCCAGAAGGAGAATCACTGAGTGAGAACTGACACTCGTAGAGACCATATTATAAATACCATTCTATACGTATCCTGGCATCAGCTGCCTCTGGTGGGAAAACTTGCCTTTGACTTCAAAGTCGTTTCATTTTTCTGTGGTATTGAGGGTGAAGTGAGGGTCTCGCTTCTGATGAGACCACAATGGTGCATGACAAGATGAGTCATGGGGTTAGCAATTACAATTGATTTCATGGAAAATAGCTCATTTTGATGACATATGACTAGAATTTACAGGCATATGCCATAGAAATACTCATACAATGGAAAAAGCCTGTAAGCTCTTTCAAAACATGATAGGAAAATATTTTTACCTTGTTGACTTTCACTTTTTGGCCCATGGAGAAAGTGTTAGCTGCTACATACATTAAATGCAATTTTATTATTTATTCTTAGCTTCTTTGCCCCATAAATGGAAAAGAGAATTTTGAGAATGCTTTCAAATTGGGACTTATTTAATGGACTTAGTCACTAGAAACTCACCACCCCACCTACTTAGCCTAATGGTTGAGAACATAAAAGAACTGCAGTCTAATTATGTTTGAGTGGATAGTCAAGAAAATGAATTAATGAATGAAAAGTCAGTTCCACATGATATATTACATGTGTCCCATAAAAAAAAAATATTTTAAATTTAAGGTAAAACCGTCTTGCAAATGATTTGAATAAACTTGTTCCTTGTAAGGATTAAATGCTTTTCATCACAAAATTAGGCTGACAAGTCAGAAAATTCTTAAATAATTGGTGTTGAATTCAACCAAGGCCTTTCTAATTGAACCTTTCAGGTTTTGTGAACTAGACTTGATTTTTTTATTATTACATCATGTCTCTTATTTCCATCACATAACTCTTATGTTCATGTTTTGTATATGGTTCAAAATAAAGGTATGCATTCAAAATAGAAAATAGGCTGAGGTCCAGGTCTTTCAGTCATGATTCCGCAACAACAGCTTAATGTGGGCTTTACTCTGCTCTTTCAGTATGTGGAGAGTGATGTGGATGAGGAACTTCTCTTCAACATCCCGTAAGTACATATGAAGTGCATTTTCCAATTTCTCAGCTCTTCTCCAATTACAAAGATCCATATTTTCCTTAAATAGGGCAAAATTGTGATTTCCACAACGACTCCTGACCCCAATTATTTTGTTCCCTTGTTTCACTGGAGCTGACAGTGTCTTTGAGCCAGTGGTGTGCCCAGGAAATCCGAATGGGGGGGTTGTCATATGAAACACTGATTACCCACCCTAATGGGGGGGGGGTTTAACATATGAAAAAACTGATAACCCACCCCATATTTATGTCCAAATATAGAAATTGTTGAGAATCGAACCTGTAAAATTGACCCCAAGGGGGGTGTTATGACCCCCAAAACCCACCTCTTGGGCATGCCACTGCTTTGAGTACAGGGCCATGTTGTATTATACCTTTGATGAAACTTGAGAAAAAATGAATTGGGTGATTCGAAGCACGGAAGGATATCTCTCATCAGTATGTCGAGAGTTAAATTTTGTCATGATCACCTGTTGATCAACATTTGGCTTATTCTGCATCCCTTCTGCTAGAGCTGCAACACTCTTCCAGGAATTCCCCAATCCTTTCATGTTCAGATTTACCAAGAGTTCAGGTATGAGGTACAGAATAACATCTTAACTAAAAGAAAAAAAAAGTTCAAGGACATTGAGGTGACAGGAAAAAGGCATCTTTTGTCTTTTCTCTCATTGTTTTTTTCAATGATGGAAGGTCGAAGATGGAAGACCTTCCTCATGTAAACACACCTCAAGGTGTGTTTAAATGGGGAACAACCCTGTAATGTATGCTGTAAATTTTCCTGATTTTCATTTTATTTCAAGACAGTGAAATGATCTATTTCCAATATTGAAAATAAATTGCATCCCTCTTCTATTATCATTTGTGGTTGTTTGTGGCATTCCATATATTTTTGGGTCCCATGCAATCTGTTAATTGCCACATCTTGATCTTCCTCCAAATACTTCTTGCTTGTCCTTTCCTTCTTCATGATTGTTATTAGCTATTTCCTTCATCCTCTGGTGTTTTTGGTTTTACCTTTGGGTTTTCCCATTTCTTTACAAGTGACGATATCGCAACTTATTATAGGTAACTACAAATTGGAAGTCGGATGTGACCTGCATAAGCACAACAGAAGACTGAGCGATGAGTGCTAAATTACAAACCTTGCAATAATATATCAATAGAATACAGGAAAAATTTTAAAAGTAGTTATGAAATTCACCAATAGATCATATTCAGATCGGACGATTCTGCAGCGTCTGCACTGCACGACTAATATTTGAAGATTTGTACATATGAATCGTCCCTTACTCAGTCGTAAAACTCTCGGAGGACTGAACAAACAGGCAACATAAGAGTACCATATGCCCTAAAATATATGTTAGATAATGTTCAAGACACATCCAGACTCTCACTCTTGGACATGGTATTCAACTAGGAGGAGCACCTTGCTTCCGTTGTCCTCCCCCAATTATTTACTTGGTTGAGATGAGGGAATGATGATCGCATTAACATCACAGTATATATGGCACCTAGACAGGGTACTGATTGAGGTTCTCATGAAAATAATACAGTGGGAGAGTGGTATGTTACGGAATTACCCTCCAGTTTCACGAGTGTTGTGGAATTTCAAGTTTTGCCCAAACTGAAGGGTGTGTTCTCTTTCTTGAAACAGATTCACTGGCAATGTGAAGCTGAAGGGATTCATTGTCCGTGGAGGTATGGAGAACACGCATCCATCCATAGTGCGGTTGTAAGTGAGGATATCTCAATCTCCCTAATCAGATCAACAATCATTACCATTTCATTTACACAAATATCAAATGTGCTTGCTTCCTAGTGGTATTTGGATTCTGTCACTTTCAGGGATGGGCAAAATAGTCATAGACACTATTGGAATAGATAGAATCCATTGAAAACTATGCCATGACCACTTCACCAGCAAGGGGTAGGAATCTGTTATTGGCTTTTGACAATAAGCTGTAATTACCTGCTGGAAAAAAGACCGCCTCATGTGGTTTAAAGCAGCTTCCATGTCGTCTAGTCATGCTGCTTTATTCCTCTGCATTTTGCTGCATGCTGGTTCATAAGTTTACTAAAGGGCTTGTGTAACAGGGTGAACATCCTAGTAAGTTCATCACTTACAATCATGAAAGCATGTCCAATAGTAGGTTTTAATAGATCCATTCACTGGGAGATATAAATTTAAATCTCTAACATCCTGGAGGTGTCAGTGGAGGAGGTGCTGCCATTTCCTGACACCCGGGAGACACCAATGCCTGTGAAAGGGTAAAGGAGGGAAGAAAACAATTGCTAATGTGAAAAAGTTTAGCAAGATTTACCCACTGCTCCAAGTGAAGTGAAATGCCTGTTGCATTTTCATTTAAAGATTCAACTTCTTATGGAAACTTGTACTTCAATATCCTTCTCTGCTAACTTGTGCAGGAAAACAGCTGAATAGGTTTTCAGGTTCTTATATTTACATATTTGCAAGTGAAGTAACTATCTAGAACTTGGATCCTGGTTTATGTCCAATTAAGCCAACAGGCTTTCATGCCATGCTAGAGGTCTGGTGAACCTTGCTTATGCCAGCAAGCTGCTAAAGATGGTAACAGTTTTTGAGGATGTGTAAAAAATGTTCCAGGTTCAAGGATAAGCCAAACATGACTTTCGACGATACTTCTGCCAAAGCAGATCAAGAGATTGAATTGGTCCAAGATAATGAAGGAACAGTAGAGTATCCGACCAAGTAAGATGAATCAACCTATGATCTCAATCAGCAGTAATAAATGCTGCTTCCTTAGCTTAAACTTCTGCATTTTTGTTTTCCCAAAGGGTTGTACACTTCTCCTCCATTCATCATCTATCCCTACACTTCCCCAAGAACTTTGGTGCCTCAAAGAGTGTCATCTATTACATTGGCCTTAGTGGGGAATGGACACCTGCCCATCGACATGGTGTCACCATTTGCACATATGAGGCAGTCCCCAGCATCTCAGACCACAAAACTTCTACGTTGGATTCTGTTTCTAGGGAGATCCAGTAATAGTTCTTTCTGAAATCCTGGTAATTCCACAAGTGAGCATCTTTGTTGAAGCTTCTAATTGGAGCTCATTTTTCTGCTATGAAGATTTTCGATTTCCATTGTTATGGTAACTTTGAGAGGAATTTCACAATCAGCAAATCTTGTTTGGTTTCTTTTTATAAAATAAAGTTTCTGGTTTTTTTTTCTTTAAGTGTTGTCATTTCCATTTTGCCCCTAAAAGCTATGAGACACAGATTCTTTACACAAATAAGAACATGCAGAGCATCAGCTACTGGGACAGAATACTACTTGCATATAGTGTTCTTAGAGGCATGCTGCTTGAATTTTGATATTCATTCCATTCCTACAAATGGGGTAAAACTTTGGGATGACAATGAAATTTTCTGGACTTTTAATGTGCCTTGTAGAACATTGGAAGGACTTGGGCTTTGAAGGTGTTTTTTTTTATATTTTACCTTCAAGTTTCCAAGAGCCTAGCTTTCACAACATCCATGATCCTGTAATGCCACTGATGAGGCAGGCAATCACATCCTCTCCCATGATGAAAAAATTACTTCTCACTGTCCTTTCACCAGTGGAGCAGGTAACATGGATAATTTGTCCTTGAGATAAAGTCAAAGTGTGTGCTATTTGGTCTTCTAGCTGTCCCCATAGAATAATCTTGAAAGATTGACTTGATGCTTTGTTACATATCTTTTTGACTGAAACTGGATGTGATTGATGTTTAGTAGTGTTCATGGAATTGAAGAATTTGTTCAAACTCAAGGGAAGGGACAATGACACTCAATCCTGTCTTCATGTCTTGTGAGACAAATCCACTATTTGGGATTTGGGAAGTACAGGGTGTCCCAAAAGTAAACTTGTGCCATTCAAGCATTGTTTGACAGAACTCCACGAAAATTGGCATGTATACATGGAATATAATCAAATTTTACTTAGCTTTGTAAGTAAAATTTGATTTGATAGCTTTGTATCAAATCATTTTAGCAATTCTGCATTGATTGAAGTTCTCTGTGTATGCCACCATTTTAAACGATCAAACTCAGCCTCTCCCTGAAACAAAGCAAACTTTTCTTGAAAAAATCAGGAGTCAGGGAAGTGCAAGCTGCTTCAATGGCTTTCTGGAGTGAGTTCAGATCCTTGTGTGACTCTTGGAACACCAGCTACTTCAAATGCCCCCACAAAGTGAAGTTGCCAGGGGGCCAGGTGATTGGTCCACATCTTTCAATCCAGTGCTGAGGAAAGCTCTCGTCCAGCCAGGTCTGCATCCCTTTGGATGAATTTTCTCTGAACCAGAACAGGACTCTTCAAACAGTCATACCAGCAAACATATATAGCCTTTTTGGATGCAGAATATGACACATTTGATTTTTTTTTTTCTCTCACGCTACTTTAACCGTCAAAGAATTCACAAGAACCATAATTTAAACAGGCTTCTCTTGCAGGCATAAAAACTGTGATCTCAAAAAACTAACATTTTCAGGAAACTGCTAACAAATCAGTTCAGCTTCAACTGAGAATAATAAAACTTTCCACACTAAAATTCTATGTCAAAATTCATATGCATGCCAATTTTTGTGGATTTTTGTTGAACAATATTTGAATTGCACATGTTTACTTTTGAGACACTCTGTATTTCACCTTGGATGCCTAGAGGAATGCATTTTTACTGCATGTAGAACATGACAGCTCAAGATTGTTGTTTTTGTAGTACCAACTGGAAATAAATTTCATGTGGAAAGTAAATTTGAAAGATGATCATTCCATTACTTTTTTTTTGGTTTCTCTTGCAATACTGCCACCATGAGAACCACACAGATCCCAAGCCACTGTCCTGGTTGTGCAGCAGTCAGAAATGGCAATTTTTACAACAAAAAAACTGCTCCCAACATTGAATTACCTGCCAATGCCACACCTGTTTGAGATGGAAAGGTAACAAGCTTGTACACATTTTCACCTTGGCTAAATAAATACCATCCTCTCCATGGTGAGATGGTTCCCTTCAAAGTTGTCCCTCTGTGAATTTATGCACTTCTAGCAGGTGTAGAGTTATTGCATGTATAGGGTGTCCCAAATAGTAGTATAAGGATTTTATTTCAAATAATTTGACATATTATTTTATTCTTTGTTGTAGGTGGTTGAGTGGACCATGGAGTTTTATGAATTGTTGGACAGTTGAATAATATACAGCAGTTGTGGAGCTTATTTTTAAACTGAAACTCTATTTTTGAAGCTCAGTGACAGTTTGATGTTTGTGGAGCACCTTCTGAACATGTTATTTGTTGGTGTGTTGCACATTTTTGTCAATGGTGGTGTTGGTGATCAACAGATCACAATCTAGAAAACCTCATAGCAGCTGAAGTCTACAACACATAGAGACAGGCTAGGCAATTCTGGAAAGTCACAAGAAATCAATGCATCAAGGAGAGGAACCCAATCCATCCATGGAGATCTTGCACCAGCTGAATTTAATACAGGTAGAAGGATAACCCATTCAATAATATACAAAGAAATGATGTTCTGAGATGACACACTGATTTCCTTGAATTGCCTAGTGAACAGTCTGTGTTGCAAACTTCAGTTACTGCAAGGTCTTTTAGATCATGGTTGATCAGTAATACCACCATTGGCACAAAAATAAGCCACATACCAATAACATGCCGAGAGGGTGCTTCCCAAACACCAAACCGTTGATAGTAGGCACACTGAGCTTCAGAAATGGTGTGTTTGTTAAAAAAATTAAAGCTCCAAAATTGCTAAATGTTGTTTGTCCAGCAATTCATAATAAAACTCCAAAGTCCACTCCACAACCTACAAAACAGAGAAAAATAATATCACTAATATGTCAGAAGTTATTCAATAGACAAATCCTTATGTTACTCTTTGGACACCCTGGACAGCTGCAATCCACCTTTTCGTAGCTCACTTGTCTTGGGACATCATGATTGCATCCTGATCCGTGAACCTGCAATCCTATCAGCAAATCTCCACCCCTCAAGCATGAATTTGAGCAGGGGAAAGATGAAACAGTCACAGGGTGCAGAGGCCAAAGAAAAGGGTGGTTGGCTGATGGCAGTGATCAAGCAACACACTAAAAAGTTGCAAAAAAATATGATTGCTGAAAAAATCCTGTAGAATGATCCACTAGTACATGTATTGTTGCATCCTATTTCAGGCATGCTACTTAATTTCCCAATCAGCCATCCATACTATTCACAGGACAAAGCACATCATGACTTTCTCATTCCTGTGGCTCAATTACAGATAAAGAGACACAAATTTGCTGACTGGGATACTACCAGGAGTCTCATGACAAGTGAGCTGCAGACTCTTCCAAAGGGGCAGACTGTAGAGACACATACCACCACTCTACACCCACTGGAATTGGTGCATTAACTCCCATGGGAACAACACTGAAGGGGACCTTGTCACCTTGGAGTGGAAGGTATGGGTATCCCAGAAAAAGAAATAATTGTTTGTGTCCTTATACTTCCATACTTACAGCATGCAGATAAAGTACTACAATCCTGGCTGAATCTGGTTAAACTCTTTCAGCATGCATTTTGACCTTTGATCATTGCCTTTTCCACATATTTTTCAACTGACTGATGGAGACATTTCCTGCTTCAGGACAAATGCCTCCTGAAATAATTTAAGGGTGAAATATGTTTAAATTGACTTTAAACTGTTTTTTTTTTTAGTTGCATTCAGCAAGTATGTGCACCATGAATGAAAGGTTGAGGCAAGGGCAGAGATATGGCCACAAATACGGCATATCATGATACCAGAAACACCCCAAACCCCCTTCACTCTTCCAAAGAAATACTGTATTCCTTCTAAATCTTGTTGATCAGTTGGTACAACCCAGTGAAGTGTAGCTGTTATTTATGCTAACCAAAAGAAAAATGTTCACATTCAGGCCTCTCATGTTGAAAAAAAAATAGCAAGAGACAATTAGCATCATAAGAATTCATAAACAAATCTGTTGTGAATAATAAACAAAACTGTAACACAAAAAGAGAGACTAGTGATAAATTATGCTCTCCAGGAAACACATAAAAAATGGAAGATATTATAGAAGCCATGTGAAATTTATGACATAGGTAAAATATGTGTTGCACAAAAGAGACAGGTTATAGCCTATAGGGGCTTAATCATCACAGGGTGTATGCAATAATCCATTGCTAGGCAATCACAGAAAATGAAAGTTGGACTGATGTGATCATACTGGAACTCAGCAACATGGTATGAGTTATGCCTGGATCAATAAAAGGAATAATTCATTCCATAGCTTCTAGACTTTCATCATACACATATCAAAATGCATTACACAGCCTACCAGCTAGAAAATGTATCACAATGACATATTATAAGAGCACCATGTCTGATGAGTACTATTCTAAAGCTTCAGGTTTTCATCAAGAACCTGATGAGCTGGTTTCTTTCTCCATAGGTTGGCTGCAAGAAAAACTTGACAGGGGTTCAATTTCAGAGCTTGTTGGAACAGGCTTCAGTTTCACTCGACAAAACGGTTCTCCTTCAGGCATCTTGAATCTATTATTGGGCTGGAAATGGGAAAGAATGCATCAGCATGTGCATCTGTATCCAAAGCACTAAACTAGAAACAACTGAACATGCACTTTTTCCTCTTATAGGAATTTTTAAATTCAACAGGACCGCTTACCTTCTTTGCTCGACAGTACTCTTTTGCCATCACCTGTGCAGTCAACTGGAAGTACTTCTCATTGCTTGGGGGAGCTGGAAAGTGTTCCAATGGGACTTTAATTCCCGAGGGAATGGAACTTGGTGATTATAAGCAAGGAAAGTGAGGAACTCACTAGTCAGTCCAAGGATGGGCAAAGACTCATGATGTACAAAATGCTGCATGGGTCCATCTTGCTGTACTTTATAGAGTCCCCGACTTTCATCCCATACAACCAGGACAATGTCCTTGTCCCTACACCTGCAGATCAGGCAAAAACAATGCTCACTTAACTAGAAAAACTGAGTATAGATATGGATATGTGCTTGATGACATATTCTCAATTGATGAGTATTTTTTATCTTTGGGAAAGGGGAAAATGCTTACGAAGCAGTGGCTCTTATACCAGACGAACTGGGAGATGAAGGTACCTGAAAGAAGTAAATACATCCAATTGGCTTCTCTGGGCCAAACACTTGCAAGTTGCATCAACAGTCACACAGGATCATGTATGGAGTGAAATAACTCAATTGCCTATCAATCAAAAGGGGCAAAAAGAATGATGGTATTTTTCCCGATTAATGATGAATAGCAGTCATCTTGTAATTATTAAGCATAAATAACTTCAATACCCTTAGCAGCAAATGGCAGTACAATACTATGACAATGAGTATTTACCATGAGCATTGAAATAATTTACAGAAATATAGCATTGTTCCAGACAACATGTTCCAGCCACTTTCACCTGCATTTACATAATGGGGGAAGGGATGGGTCTAAGCACAGACTTCACCATCAGGTAGAAAAGAGAACTTACGAGGTAATGACAGAGCTTCAGGGTCCTCTCACTTAGTTCATCCAGATACCTTTGGCAAAGCTTTTCGGGAGAACTAGTTTCTAATGCAGACATGCTCATTGCCATTTGAGCATGACTAGCATAAGACCTGGAAAGAAGAACCCATACATGAGTAGCATCTCCCATCAGTCTATTATTCATAAGAAATAAGGCCAGGGATGAAACAGTATCATAATTTTACTGGTACTCTTTTGTCCTATATTCCACCAGTGTCCAACATCAACATTTCCATTGCTTATGTATCAGTATTTCAGTACTGAGATAACAGTGCTCTTCCATTATATCCAATTACTTCTTAATGATGAAGAAATGCAAGTGAGACACAGATTCATGCAGATTATCATCATCTTCAGCTTCAGTCCATGGATGTCAACATTCAGATTTAGTTCCAAGGGAGAAAAAATGATGATAATAGTCTTGCTGGTACTAGTGGTGGTCATATCTGACAATATCCAGAAGCAGGTATAAATACAGTTGCATCCCAATAGGAGACCTTACGTGGACAAAGAGGATGATACTGTGCTAGTGGATGTAGAAGCTCCAGCACAGTCTGAGTGCCTCATGACCCGAAGCAATTCTGCAAGCCTTTCACACTCCTGTCTCCAGAACAGCTCCTGTCGAGTCAAACGCAATATTTCTTCTTCCTTCTCCTTTGTGGCTTTCCGGAGAGCTTCATTGAAGAGTGTCTGTCGATCTGCTTCTAATTGCAGGCGAGAAGCTTGCTTAGTTCTCAGACTTTCCACCTCAGTTGTCAAAGTCTCATTCTCTTTCTTCAGCCCATCCACTACTGATTCATGCACACATATCCCCAAAGTCTCTGAATGTAGCAGTTTGAAGCGAGACCTTAGATTATCCATCTCCAACTTGTAATTGTCTCTTTCCTTTTGTAGGTTTTGCATTTTCTTCTCAAGTTCTTGCTTTTGAGTCTCATGATGTCGATGAGCCTCTTCTACTTTTGCCTCCCAATCACTTCTTAACTTTTCTGTATTTGCCCGAAACTCTAAATAGATCTTGGTTCGAATTTCATCCAGGGACTCATCCTTTTCCTCTTGCTTGGAATGCAGCTCCTCCAAAAGCTTCTCTTTCTCACATTGCAAAATCTCTATCATCTTCTCCCTACTGCTCATATCCTACAAGAAAACAACCAATGCAAAGCATATGCTGAAAGAACTCTGATTTTCACATGAAAGATGACCTAGCAATGTGCATGCCAAAATAACAATTACAACTCTAACAGTACAATGTTACAAGAACTAACCAACCACAACTCAGTCAACATTAGAACTATTGATGCAAAGATCCAGATGACAAGAGTTACGATGTGAGTAAAACCATTCAGGGTAAGTGTGATTAATGCTCCTTATTGGTACTCTGTGCAATATACCATCAATGAAGTATGCATTATGAAGTACTCTCATGCCAATGGTGCCTTGCATATACAGACAAGTTTCATTGGTTCAATTAATATATATTTTGCAAGATATTAGTTGACCCTCTTTCAGTTCTTCTTTCTTGACAGTTGACTGATTGAAACAAAGGAAGGGGTTTTCGAGGTGCAAGACACTATGCAATTCAGTGATAAGTATTTCTCACCACATGAAATATACGTTCAAAATTATAAACCCTTTTATATGCTGATGACAAGGCTTGCTCTGCTTTACAGTCAGACATATTTAATTGATGTCCCCACTTCTCATCTTCTATCCTACTCATTAGGGTGAGATCTTACAACCCCAGGATTGAGGGAATGCTGAGATCTTTTTGTCTGTGCACTAGGCACAGGATAAAAAATATCTACATCCTTTTCCCAGAACTTATCATCAGTCACTTGGGAATATCTTCCCAGTTCCACTAGGGGCTTGATCTTTCCACAGTCAGTCATCATTTAACTTTTTTCAGTTTATCACCATTCCTCATCCCAAACACTCAATACTGACCATTTCATCTTCCACCTCTTTTAGTTTTATTTTCTTCTTTCCCTCTCGCTTTTCTTCTCTCAGTTATTCATTTTTTTAATCCCTGCCTTGCCTTCCCATTTGGTTGCTACCCTTTCCAGTAACCTGGTCACCAGGTTACACAGAACTTTTTCCACCTCTGCCTACAAATATGGACTTTTGTTCCACCCTGTATATCCCAAAACATGTCCAATGAGATAGCATGTAGGGGTATATGTGACCAAAAACAAAAAAATGCCAGCAGCAAAGGAAATCCTGCTTGAGTCTATAGAATTACATTCACTCCTCTTAATAATATATGGCCCAGCACCAATTCCCTGATTATCATGCTTTCCCCATTCAAGATCACACTTGCTCCTAGGATGGGGTGATGTCAATCAAGAAAATTTTGATGTTAAGAGGAAATGCATACAAGTCACAAATAGGCAGTCTTAAAGTCTAAAAAACTGTATTGACCACTTTGGTGCAATCACATGTCTGCAGCACCATTTGCTAGTCACACCCCTTCCATGATCACACTTATCCCTCTGATGGGATATGTGCCATCAAAATGACCATTCTTGTGCAAATGCTGTGAATTTATGCAGTCTTCAAAGAGAGAGGATGAAAATACCTAGATATGAAACTTAACAGTCAAATGATGGTGTACATTGTTGTATTTTTGTATCTGTCATAGAATCATTTTGTCATTAATAAAAAATGGAACTTTGACTTATTTCTTCACACCAAATGAACACATGTTAAGATGAATCCATAAAGAGTCTTCATGAGGCTAGGCATATCACTTATCAAGTACGGATTCAAAGTTGTCTCATGATTCAAGCAACATTCTGACACACTTTGTTGCACTTTTTGGATGGAGGAAACAAAATAGGCCTGAAGTAGTACAATGGGGAGGGTGAGCTTCTCCCCTCATGGAGAAATATGAATTATTTTTGTTATTCTGTCCAGTCTTAACTTCCACTCTGGTAGTTAAACTCCAACATGAAGATGGAATTACTTGCCTTCATTTAGAGATCACAGCAACATGCAACATTCACTCATTATCTTTATTTGGGGGTGCCAAGCTTTGCTCTATTTGCTTCTCTAGCAAATAGAATGATTGATCTTCAACCCTTTACTGTACGATAAAGAGAAAAGTATTGGATAAAATATTCAAATTTCATATACACTTCTTTAATGGTATGAAAACAATATATTCTTCATCAAACTGTCAAAACTTTGTCATTTTACTGCAATTTTAGGTTTTTGGGAAAAAAAGGAAGAAATTTGCAAGGAAAAAACCTGCAACAGGTTGAATTTGTAAAAGGTCAGACAAAGATGCAAGTTCAAGATATGAAGCAACATATGCATGAAAGTTTTTTTTTTTTACATGAAACATAATAAATAAAAGTTAATAAGTTTGCAACATAATATGGTGAAAAGATCTTTTACTCAGCTATGGTACTGACCTAGTATTTTCAATATACTCCCAGTTGGTAACAAACATACATTTAAGAAGAATTTATGTTCTTCCCTGACAGAAACATCAAGATGTTTTACAAAAAATCCCCATTCATTACACAGTGAGTCTTCAGCCATTTTATAATAAAATTATCCAAATATGATCTATACTGAGAACACAATACAGCATAGGGTTAAAGCATGCAATACCCAACAGTATTATGGATTAAATGATCTCACGAGTTGAAGAGCTGTAATTTCTTCCTCCCGAAATTCCTGTTGCTGCTTCACAGATTCCTGATATTTATCCAATTCTACCTCATGCTCTAAGGTCAACCTTTTCATCACATCTGCAACTTCTTCTTTCTTCTCTTCAACTTCCTTCTCCAAAGCCAATACGTGTTGTTGTCTGCATTCCAACTGTTCTTGGAGTTGAAGGATCCCACTCTTGTGCTCTTCCAGCTGCTTCAGCAAAGGACCTGTCACATCTTCAATGGCACACTCCTTTTCCTTCTTAAAATTCTCCTGAATCCTTGACAATGCTTCGTTCACTTCATTAGTGAGGGAGTGTGCAAAATCCCAGAACTGGGCCCTATTGGTTCTGACTTGCTGCTTTAAAGTCTTCAGTTCATTCTGCAGAGATTGCACAAGGTCAGACAGTCCCTTCTTCAAACCTCCCTTGAGCATTTTTATGCAGTATTCCATAGAACGCTGCCTCTCCTGAAAAGTGAATTTTGATCAATGTCAGTTGAACAAATATATACAGCATACTTTTTCATGGATTGGCATGATGTTAGTTTGCTCACCATCAGAAGTTTCACCTCACAGGATTTTTTCACTAATTCAGTTTGGAGCTCTTCTTTGCATGATCCATGGAGGGAAAAATCCATCTCTTTAGCTAGAAGCTTCGTATCACCCTTCCTGTACATCCATTAAAAAAAAATAATTGAAGAGTTTTCAACCTGTACTGAGGATGCAATAACAACAAAACAACAAAAAGCAATTCCAATAGATGCACAAGTGGAAAGGCTGTTAACCTCATCCAAACAGCCCAATTGATATAAGGAATCCAGTTTTTTTTCTCAATACCAGTACTCTAACATATTCCTTGGACATTCCAGGTAAACTGGCCATAATTAGCAAGTCAGACCAAAGTAAGCTGCCAAATGTTTTATAAGGTTTGATGGAACAAAGAATAAGTTATGTTGCATGGCTTACAATCCAAATTACAAAGTTTAAAGTTAATTTTGAGATTTTCCTTTGATGCTATGTCTCATGCATGAACTTCGTTGTTTTTCACCAGCAGGTAATCCAAGGTAATATGAGATTGCCTTCTGATTAATAAAACTGAAAATTAACACCACCTTCAAGTGATACGGCTCAAATTGTCTAAAATCATGGCATTGTCTCAAGCACCAAGATATTTGTAATTGCATCAATATAACCAAGGACATGATTCCCAAAGCCCAGTGGGAATTTCCTCTGGTTTTATTTTTTTTGGCCCTTGGGAAGTAACCCACCAATTAAGAGCTGATCCACATCTCTCCAGTTAGCCAAATAAACCTTATAATAAACTTTTATGACTTTTAAAATTTTAATAGACCTTCAGTCTCAGAAGCAGCCTCTGGATGCACATGTTTGGCACTTTCAACAGTTTTCCCCAGTGTGAGAAACACTCAGCTTGGCAAGGACATCCCTTAGGAACTCAAGACAGACATCCACCATATCTCCATAATGATCTCTCCCAATAGCACCAGTTCAAGCTTGGTACCAGATGTTTTTGTCATTATGGGTCTTAAATAAGCATACATTCTTTGTGTTTGGACTATTAGATGTGCCCTGCAGTGCAATGCATATTATCAATCACAATAGAGAATTCATTGATCCACTGACAATCTTCATTAGCAGGCACAGTTTTGGTCTGAGTCTCATATGAAAGTCACATCGACAGATGAGACATTGGCAATCACTGCATGTTCAATGGTAGACCTTGACTTGCAAGATTGTTTGTATATACAAGGTGTCCCAAAATTGACTGAACATATAATTTGTCAGTGTATTTATGCTGCATGGCCTGAGGTAGCTCCATGTGCTTACTAACATGGATATAAGTGCCATGGGCATGGCTGGCAAATATGTTAGTGTACATATTTCCATATATAATTTGTTGTCCTCAGAAGGATGATTGGTTTTTGGCATTGGTCATGATTTTGCAATGACAGCAAATTTTAAAAATTGTTTGCCCCCCTCAGCAAGGAAACATCCCAGGCAGAGAACAAATACGTTTCAGATGTTGGTAAACTTTTCTGATGTTATAGAGCACACACAGTGGTTATTTGGTCTTTTGACTTCCTTGATTGATTGCAGTTGTGCCCAGTAAATAATTATTGTATTACAGTCTTCAGATGACCCCACAGAAAGAAGTCCAGTGGCATTTAATCTGGTGATCAAGGTAGTGACTTCAAAAGGCCTTGTCTTTCAATCCTATTTTCTGAATATTCCTCTTGCAAGATTGCCCACATGATTCTGGTGCACTATCTAGATAGTGCACTAGAGCAGTGCATTATCTTGCAGGAATGTAATCAACTCATCAACAAGGTACAAGAGATCCTCTATCTAGTTCACAGCAGTGTTCACAATTTTATCAATAGCTGGTCGGATGATGTTTTTGAGCAGGTCCAAGTAGAAAATTCCCATGAGGCTTTCTTGCATTAAATACATGAGTCAATCAGAAAGTTTTGGGATACACAAGGAGAAATTAATCAAATTTCATTTCAACATCTACAACTTTTTGAAGTACTCCTCAAAAGACTCCATACAGCATTTCACCATGTAAAGCCATCTCTCAGAGAAACTATGCCATTCCTTATTCACCACCTCTGAAACTGCTTCCTTTGCAATGAATCTTTGACCCTTGTGAACAAAAGTCATTGCAAGGGTCCTAAAAAATCCTTTAGGGTAGAAGGGTGACCAGGCCAACAAGAGTTTCTTCCGGTTAGACCACAGTCCTTGTAGCCTTGCTGGTGGAGGAATTGTTGTGATGCAGGAGGCCCTAGAGCCCAGGGTGTTGTCATTTTTCTTGCACTTTTTGGGAAACTTTGGGTAGGGACGGTGTGATGTATCACTCAGCATTCACTATTTTTCAGCCCTCTGATAAAACTGTTGATGACCACTGATGAACTCACCACTGACAATAGAAAAGTGGCAACCATCTTCTTCCCCAAACTTCTTCACCTCTTCACTGTGCTGGGGATGTCATCCTAATAGAACACCCAAACTGCATATTGCCCCTGTTTCCTGGTCTTACTGGTAAATCCATGACACCTCACCAGTGTCAACGTCAAAGTTTAATTTTGAGCATTCTTCTTGAAAAGTTTAGAACACGTACTTGCAACATTTCTCTTGGACCCCTTTTTTCTCATCTGGCAAGTTGTGAGGGTCCCAACAGCAAGAGATTTTCCTGATTAGAAAAAACCTATGCAGGATTTCTGCAACATTCCCCGATCCAATGTTTAGGTACTCCTTAATATCATAGTGTATGCATATTCAATCTCCTTGAATCATAGCCTCCACATTCTGGATGTTTTCTTCAATGAAAGCAGTTGCAAGTCTTCCACTGAGGGGATCATCTTCAATGCTGGTTCTTCCCCTCTTAAACTCAGCTAAGTAGCATGAAACTACAGCTAGGGATTTGCTCTGTCCCAAAACGTAATATGCAAAAGAGCAAGATACTGCGCTTAATTTAAAGCACTTATCTGGTCATAGAGAATCATGGCATGGTCTGACTAAGAGAATCCCTACATTCATAACTTTAAAAAATTAAAGAAAATATAGTTCTACTGGAATCACATTGAAACTTGTTTTCAAGGGTTAGAAAATAACATTTTTCAACCTGTTTAAATCAGAAATCAGTAGCCATCCCATTTTTGCACATCATGAAACTTTCTGAGTGACCCTCGTACAGCCCCACAATGTTGTCCCCAATGATGCCTACTTAGACTTTAACCTTTATTGTATTCTATGGGTGCCCTTTCCACATTTTGTTCAGATTCTGCTGGTGCCAGTAGCAGCAATTGTGTTTATTGATGTAGACATTTATGAAAAAAGCCACTTGTTGCTAAAACAAATATGTGACACCAGAGTTGCATCTGCATTGCATTCATCCATGAATGCTTAACATAATTCTGTGCATTGATTGAAGTTATCATTCTGATCCTGAACAAAGTGCACCTTGTATGGGTGGAACTTTAGAATTGCCTACGCCCAAACAACAGATGAGCAACTAATGCCAAGTACTCTTGATAACTAAGGAACTTATAATTATGGACAGAAACCACCTTGTGTGCAAGGATCACTTCTTGAGCAGTTTTGCTAGTAGTAATTTGCAGCAACCTTTTCCTTGTAAATTTACAACACTTCCTGTGGACAGGAATTTCTTCAACAGGGCTGTTACTGTGACTTGACTTTGAACACTCAGAATGTTTTTTCCAGCAAGATATGTCTACAGCAGCTCATGTTTTCCACCCACACATAAATCAAGACCATCTTTCCTTCCTTTAATTCCTTCAATGTGCAAACCATCTTTTTACCTCAGAACACATGCAAAAACAAAAAGGTTGCATCTGCTGTTAAGCAACAAGTGACTTGGAACATCTTGAACGCAAAATCGACAAAAAAAAAATAGTTGACCCATTCTAAAAGACAATAAATGAGGCACCTTTTACTTCTGCTCTCAGGTCACCCAGAGGACAGCAATTGAATCCTACCCTGAACAAGATCAAACTTGATAATTCAAACAAAAATGGAATAAACTATGCAGGCCTTAGCTATTCCAGTGCCCAGTGCAAAGAGACACCCAGCCCCCCCCCCTCTTTCTGATGAAATTCCAGGGAACATGGGGGTGGGGTTGTTTCATTCATTCAGTCATGCTTTGGCACCTCTGGTGAATTTGCACCCTGTGCAGGGGTACATGTGGTGAATGCCAAAGGCTGGTCCTGAGGACAGGTGCTGCCACCATGCAGTGGTATGTGAAAGGCTTTATGAGAGAAATTTTTGCCATGATATGACCCAACACAAAAAACTATTTAACTAGATTTGATTCAAATGGATTTTTCTTTTGGGATACATACCAAAATATGTAACCCTGTATGTTAAGTTATTTTAAGGACACCCTGTATATTTTTTTACTTGAACAATAATTGTGAGAATAAATAAATGAAAGGGTTTCGGAATTCTTTAAACTTTCAAGTTTTTTTCCATATCAAATATCTTCCACTTCATTCTTAATTTTTCTGGAGATAAGACTTCAACATGGGCAGTCATATAAATTGCTCACCAACCAACTACCCAAAGTCTAGCTGACAGCCTTAAAGAGATTCTATTCCTTGACCCCTTGGACTTCAATTGTCTCCTCTCATTGACTAGGATTGTCAGGCTTTATGAGAGAAATTTTTGCTTGATATGATCAAACACAAAAAAACTATTTAACCAGATTTGATTCTAATGAATTTTTCTTTTGGGGTACATACAGAGACAAAATTTCATGCCACAAAGCCTAATAACCTTGATCCGCTGGGGAAAAAAATCTAAAGAGAAATTCAAGTGATCAATGAAGAGAATCTTTGTCACGTTGTGAATGAGACATATGTGGTAACATAGAGAAGTGTTGAAAATAATTGCACAAAAGTTGAAGTCTTGAAGACTTCAACTTTTAACGACTTTCAACGACTACTAGAAGGCTTGATGAAAGTGCCAAAATTTTTAAAGAATTCAGAAACCACATTGCTACCCAGATCCATAAATTCTTGTTGAGTAAATAATAAAAATAATGAATCAGTTACTTTATAATTACCCAGTAGGATGTGAAGTTAGACCACTACAGAGCGGAGGTGGAGTTATGACACACGCAGCCTCCCTGAATTTCAAGACCTGTTCACTTAGATTATTTCAGGTGGTTTGGAGACACACGTTCCTGATGTCACATGGTTTTGAGATGGTGGCTGCAGGAAAAGCCAACAGATTTACAAGATACTAGCTACAATTAAAAGCATACTGTCTCTATTAACAAGATTCATGTATTGGTCATGTCAAGGGGTCAGTGGGAGCTGCTGGAAGGACTAAAAGAAAAACACAGCCATTGTAAATACAGGCACTAATCATTATTTGTAAATCTGTGGGGCAAGCCCCAGGTCACAAATCTATACTACTTATATTTCAGGGTGTTTGTGTGCATGTCTGCCATTTATGCACGGCCACTCCTCTGATCCCAATCTGACCAAACTTTGCATGGCTCCCTCATTTGGTCCAGGGATAATCATAGGCTAGGTGGCATTTCAAAATTCTGACCCTCTGGGGTACCTTAGCAAGTTTGTTTGCCCGAAAAACAAACTCACTATAAATGTATGAAGACAGTATCCCAGAGTTCCCATGCCCTTCACTTTTCCCATCCATGCTACACCTATGGTGTGCTTAACACATTAACTGCCAATGACGCTTTGCCTATCATTTTCTAAGGCACCCCATGACATGCTGGCATGTCTAAAGGAATCCTACTTTTAGATCCAATCATTGTTGGATATCCTTATGTATTCCTAGAACTAGTCACCTTTTGTTATTGCAATAACTGCATAGCAAGAAGGATAGACATGGCATAAAACATGGCAAGGATAGGCATGGTATAAAACATGCATCATGACACACCAGCACATCACATGGCAGTCAATGTGTTGACTCCTTTAACAGGGTGACCGTCTTTTGGTGTTAAAATATCTGCTCTAGTAATGTGTTCACCATATTTAGATGTCTCTGCATTTAGATAGACAGCAAAATTCTGAGTGGTTGCCAAAAGGCACATTGATACTCCACATATTTAGAGATATTCTGCTAATGAGTGCATGTGGCAAAAAAAAAAACTCAATGGTATTTTCTATAGAATTCACGATGGTACTCTTACCTTGCTAACTCATTTCCAGATGGTGAACAGACAACTGCCTCAACAGCAGAAGTGAACAAGTCATGACCAGGGCTCTGGAATCAAGAAACACTTTCTCAGTAAAAAAATCTCATGTCAGAATTGAACCTGAGTTTGTACTTGTACCCAGAACGTACCTCTTCATTGCTTTTACATGGAATTTTGGCAAGTGGGTAAGACATCCAGGGAATGAAACAAGGTACATCTGATCTCACGTTTGATGGCATAACATCCCTGAGGTTCTCCATGTCAGATATCCTTAACTAAGAATAAATTGAAATTTATGTAATAAGTATTAGCATCTGACACTTTCAACTGCTTACAGTTCACATCATACCTCAGGGAGTCTCATGTCAAAAGGCTCTGGAGAGTAAATGGCAAATGGGGGTGGGAAGTCATCCATGCCCGGAAAGAGAGAATATAAAAAATGACCCTCAATGCTCTCATTGAAGATTTTCCGTTCAGACACCTCTGAGTTATGGATGGTACTTGCTTCTGTGGCCAAATTACATGCCCACTGCAAAATACAACACTCTCATAAATGAGAATCTCAAGCACTTGCACTTGACAAAGAGATCCCAAGGACAGCAGTAGTCAACTCACTTCAAGAAAAGTTTTTGAAAAATTTCTTCTGCGTACTACCTCCCTCACAGCACTGAGGTATAGCTGAGGGGCAAGATGAATCTGCTGAACTATCTTCAGGTGCTTCTGTAGCCGCTTCACACTCTCATGGTACATAAGCAATTTATTATCAATCTCACATATGCTCTGTTCAACATACATAATCCATCTGAAAGGGGGATGAACAAAGACCATAAATTCAAGTTTTGGCAGTTCAGGGAGAAATTTTAAAGAAGCAGACACTTGCCTTAATCTTGTATGGAGGTTCTGTGAAAGTTCCTCCTTTGCCTTTGCACAGCGAAGGCAAATATCCCTGAGCTTGGAATGATTCTCTAGCATGACACGTAACTGACGCCTATGACTTGCACATAGGTCTGGGAATATAGAAGGATCCCCTAATTTCCCAGCCCTTGCTTGATTTTGCAAGAATCCCTAGAAGTAAACCATACCCAATCAGCCAGAAAATAACAATCCAATGCAGCATAATATGGGTATTGAGTGAGCGAATGTAGGCATTAAGTGAAAAGCATGATGCTTCTTCATCAAAAAGCAATGAGGGCTCACTAGAGGAATGATGTTTGAATTCTGAACTAAAACAGGTTACATTCAGCTTGAAAATTTTTCTCATTGCTAACATCTTAAACCTTGATCTCTTTTCTGTAAATAGGAAGGAGATCTGATTGCCCGTAGTCACTTTTCTAAGTGCTTTGAATTTGCAGAAAATACATTATCCACAATATATATTTCATTATGTACATCTCATACTAGGTAAAGGTGCCAGTAGACTCAAGGAGATATTATATCGTTGTTAAAAGCTCCACCTTATATATCATGAATGAAACCCTGGGTGAAAATTTTTCATTCCAGACAAATGTAAATTTTTCCACATTCATGTCTTACATAAACAACAAAACAAAATCCAGATATTGTGAATATTCTAGGTATATAGCAGGAACTTGAAAAATCTGCATAATTCATGGTTCAAAAAAATCATGAGACATATTGCATTATTGAGGTCTAAATCATGAAATATTTAATGCATCTAACAACAGCCACAAATTGAAAGCAAAATCAATTCATAATTAGGATTTTTACAAGACTGGTTGCTAGTAACAAACCAAGTAATACTTAGTTGGAAATGCAGCAATGAAAATATCAAGTAATAACTAGAAGCACAAGAACATGGTTATTCAAAAAATTGTGACTTTACCAAATCATCATGTTAATTACATTAGCATCATAGCCTATTGACAAGAAATCAACTCACCTGTGCAAGTTCTGCCTGGTCCTGAACAAGTTTCTTTGTTTCGCACATCAGCTGCTCCAGTCCATACAGTCTCTCTTCCAATCCTTTGATTTCCTTCATACTTGAATTGCTAGCAGCTTCTTCTGCAGCTTGCACCTCTGCAGTCAAGCCTGCCAGTATCATTTCATCCATCTGCAAAAGGATACAGATACATAAGGTGAAAACCTGTTTCACAGTATTCCCTTGCTTAACCCTTCAACTGCTGAGTTTTAAATAGCCAAGTGCCCAATTAGTGCTGAGATTTTAGCACACTCCCTGTTGTAGCAACTTGAAAAGATTCAGGTTAGTAATACTAATTTCCTTACAGATTTACAGTGTCTCAGAATTATTCATTGAAAAGTAAAATTTTATTTCTCGAAAAGTGGTAGATGTAGAACAATGAAAGTAGGCAGTAATGTGGCCTAACTCCCTACTTTTCATTCGATATGGGTGGCAGCACTATAGGACGCAAGATGATGACAATGATTAAGCAAAACACGAAGTGTGTGATTTTGCATGCAAAACTGAACAGTGTTGTGCTTGTACAGCATTAGTTCAAGCAGTTGCATGGAAAAATTAAGGCTCCAACATCACAAGGCATTCTACATTGGTCCATGCATTTAGAAAAAACTGGAACAGTGACTAATCAAAAGGGCCAGACCATGCACGCCTGTTGCCATAGTGGACAATTTCAGGCAGCAATGACATGAAGTCCTGCATATTTTGAGAAGGTTATCACGTGAAGTGGACTGTTTGTAAACAATTGAACACCATTCCAGTTTCTTCAAATTGCCCAATGCCCAAACAAATCCAGAATTCCTTGCGATGTCAGAGCCCTCCTTGTTCCGTACCAATTTTTGAACTAACGCTGAACAAGCCCAACAACCCATGTGAAAATTTCATGTAAGACCATAAATGATATGGCCAAATATTTAGCCAGTCCAACATATATATATGGGCCATATATGACCATAGAGTGCAACTCATATATGAACATATATGGGGTTCGACACAAGTCACATAAAATCATATAAGAATGAAAATATACATTTTCATATATTGGTTCATACAAATGCACCATACACTGTCCATATATGCCATGTCATATCTATGTATGGTGAGATTACCTGAAACATGCCTGTATCCAAAAAGGGTCCATAATCCATCAAATACTGTATAATCCATTCATATGCAAGTCACCATACTTTACTTGCAATCAACTCATTTTTATTTGTTCATAGACCACAGTCAATTACTCCAAGAACTCATGTTTCATGGTGTTCAACATATGCACCCTTGTTAATGAAGCTGAAAGTTTCAATATTATAGACTTTAACCTTCAAAAGTATTTTAATCAGTAATGCTATTTCATGACAAAACTTGGCTTAGTAGGAGTGTCTTCTTCATTTTGACTGATAACTCACAAGATAGATGGGAACAAAAACTGTATTTCTTTCTGAAATAATCCAATAAAGGAATTGTTCAATGATGACAAGACACACCATGTGCCCCTACTTTACAACAAAAAACGTATTAATATGAAGGAAAAGACGCATGAAATGCCTAACAGTGTCCAAAAGTTCCAGTTGCCCCCCCTTCTACACTTTTTTCATCAGTGATACACTTATGCTACCTAGGGAGGGTAGGGCCCAGTCTGAAATCCCAACTCGAATTTTCCAGCTGGACAGAAGCTGTATATTCAGACCATTTCCAGCAGGCAAAGAGCTGAAAAATGGTAGATACAGGTTGTTTTACAGCTGGAAATTTACCATTAGAATTATATACAGAGGACTTTCCAGTTGGAATACAGCTGAATTTACAGTTGAAATTCAGCTGCTTCTGTAGAGGACCTCCAGGAAGAATAGCCAACAAAAACATTATCAAGAATGAGAATACCAATGTATTGCAATTAGGAACAATCTGGATTTGACTTTACTTTCCAGCTGCTACCCAGTTGGAATGGGTCTGAATTTCTAACTGAAGTCCAGCTGGAAATTATAGTTGTTTCCAACTGGGATTTTCTGCTGGGGGGGGGGGGAGTTTGAAATCAAACTTTTGGCAAATAACTTTAAAAGTTATACACAGCTAATATTTCATGTGAAATATAATGGGTGCATTAAAAATTAGTTTCAGAGGCATCTGAAGGTCAATTGCTCTCATGTGTAACAACCTCATTCAGTGGCATATTTTACAGGGAGGGGGCAGAGGGGTACAGCTGCCAACCGTGGCATCCCTGGGACAGGGCTTGGCTCTGCTGCCCTGTTCCCCCTGACTCTTCAGCCAAAATACACCTCTGAGCTCATGCTATGTTTTACTTACAACCATAAGACTTGTCCATGGGTATTCATCACATATCAGACATGATGCCATTTGCTCATCACACTTAATATTGCAATGGAGGTAAAATATATAAATATATTATACAATTGTTAATATATGAATATATAAATGGTGGTATATGGCAAATATATGATCATACATGACCATATAGAATCATACACCCAGTCCTGTATGGAATTTTCATGTGGGAATGTTGAGTTTTGCATGAAAAAATCAAGCATTTTGCCTCTGTTGTATCATCTCCATCTTGCTTTCTACAGTGCTGCCAGCCACATAGAATGAATAGTGTTAGACCAATTACTGCCAACTTTCACTTTTCAACAACTGCTTTTTGAGAAATAAAATTTTACTTTTCAATGAATAATTTTGAGACACCCTGTCTTTAATATATTTTGTCTACTGTTAGATATCAACTAGTCTACTAATCACAAAAGACCAGTATATTAGACAGCTGCTAAGTAGTTGTTTGCCTTAACCAAAGTGAGATAGCATTCCCAAGAGAAGAGACTACAGCCCTTGGTCTCTTTTCAACAGAGAAAAGTAATGAGAGAAAAAGCTTACCATGAGGTTTAGCAAAACATGGACACGGAAAAGTGTTTCACCCTCCAAGTTCCTTAAATTTCCATAAATATGCAGCATTTCCTTAAATTATATAACCCGAGGGAAAGAAATTCAGTTAGGGGTCCTTAACTCATTCTCACAACTGCAGAATGGAATTTCTCAAATGAGCACTTTCCTCAGCATCACTTCAGTTGAAATTCAGTGTGTAGTTCCACCTTAATGTGAAATAAAATTTTATCCTTAGATATAAAATTTATACTATAATTATTTGGGAAGAAAAAACAAAGACCAAGGAATTCACAGCCTCTCTGTGATGCAGTTCCTGAGGCTGAAGTTGTCAAGGGAAATGAAGGTCTAGCAGTAAATAATAATGACTTATCCTCTTTCCTTTTCAGTTCTCATTATGCTCTTTTCATTGAACGGTTGAGAGGAATTTTGAAGGGATGAAATTCCTAATTGAATTACATGGTATCTCAAAAACGTTAACACTGCAAGAATTGATTTTTCTTGTACCAATTTGAATGAAAAATTTTGAGCCAGTTAAAATTAAAAGAGAGTAAGCCTTCCACTGCTGAAGATTGCACAAATATCAATGAACTCAGAAGCAAGACATAGAAAGAAAAAATGTACATTAGCAAAATTTAGACATGCTGGTAAATTTCAACAAGCAGCATATAAAAGAGAATCCAATAATGCAAGAGCTCAAAGAAGCTAGTGAGCCACAACTGCCAGAAGGTTCTTGAATCTATTGCTAGTTCCTGAGCACTCATCAAAATGCTGCAGTATTCACTGAATGAAAGAATCTTTGTGGTGACCTATCTCTCAATCTCGCCTTCCACACCATCAACACACCTTAAACACATCCTTTAGTGCTGCTGTATAAATTATTCTGAGTCTTATTTCCACTGTTCCTTATCTCATTTCAGAAATAGATTATATTAAAGTTCAATATAATTTAAAAAAATCCATTATTACAGCATTAACTTTTTTTTTTTAGACATACCTTTTCTGATAATGTAAATGGGTGCTGCTAATCCCAAGACCTGCATCAAAATTCCTCCCTGACCCAAGATTCTGGAGTTTCTGTTCAAAGCTTTGCAAGTATCTCCAGGATGTACCTGTTCTATTCCACGTCGACAGAAATCTGCTACCTCCTCCAAACCAGCCTGTCCACTGCTACTGCTGATCCAATACAACAATGATTGTTGCTTCTCTTCTCCATTTTGATCAGTTCCCGATGAGGCAGAAAGGAGGTTGGATAACAGAGGGATGCGAGAGAGCAGCTGCAAATCTTCATCAAAACTGGAAATAGAGTGTCAATGAAAGTTTAAGTTCCTCGCCTGAGGTCCAAATGATAGCAACACTTAAATGTATAAGTATACATAGGCATATACAAGCATGTTATATGTATGACTTGAGAGAAGCTCCTTCCTAGGTTTTCCTGGTCTCATAGAACACCCCAAAAGGCAATTAATTCCACAGTTTTGATTAATATAATTTATTTCTTAACAATAGGCAATGTTTGCAGGCCTGGAATATAAAAGGAGGTCAGTCTCCAGAGTGTGCACAGGGTGTAACAAAAGTTTCTGATTACTTGATTTTCCATTACTATTTCACATTATTCATTCTTGCAGATTCTGCTAATATGGCAATGCTAGAGGGGAAGGAAGAGGGTAGGGAAAAAATCGGTGAATTATTTTGCTAACTCTTTTCCTTGTGATAGAACCTTAAGAGACTGTTCCTCAACAGGGTAATTCTGAAACCAATCCTTCCAGTGTCTTTTCTTTTTAAATAGGAAATAATCTGATGGGTCTCTTTTGTCATGAGATTTAAGTTGCACTAGCTTAACTTCCTTCCTTCATCATCAACCTAGAAAGTTTTTTGGAAACTCTGGTTTACCATAAGCATTATGGTAACTAATTTTTTCTCAAATTGACAAATCAAAAACTTTTGCTACATGGTTGTCTATTCTCCTGCCAATAGTGTTCATCCTCATGAAGCTAAACAGTGAATCAGCTTGAAAGAAAGAAGTTGGCACTAACAATAGGGCTGCCCTTTACCCCCAATCCTCTGATCTAATGATAATAAATTCTCTATACTGTCTCATCTTACAACCTGAACTGTACACAAATTCTATAAACATTTTTAGGAGTTTTCTGTTGAAATTTCATTAATAAAAATCTTCAAGATGGCCATTTCAGGCAATTAGTATGACCCTATCACCACTATTAAAGTTGGACTGTGTGAACTCTGTGAACATCCTACATCCTTGAGACCCTAATCTTCAGGGTGTCCAAAAAGTTTAGAACAATTGGTGATTTACTGCTTTTATTTTCTTCTTTATGAGACTGCTGAAGGCATGTGTGTACAAAGACAAGATCAGGGACACTGAACATCTGAAACAACGAATTCATGGAGAGTGTCATCATTGACAACAACACAGATATACTTCAGTGTTCAATGAGAATGGAAATACCATCTCCAAACTTATTTTAAATTACAGGGACAGCATGTGTTCCACATGCTGTAAAATTCATTGAAGTGCCTATGGTTCCAGGCTTTTCAGACACCCTGTATTTCATATCAATCACCAAGATGGAGTACCAAGCAGTGACTAAGTTTCTGACCCTAGAAGGAAATAATCTCAAGCATATTCATCAATACTTGGTTGGTGTATAAGGAGAGAGTGCCCCACATTATACCACAGTAGTTTAAAGAGTTTAAGCATGGCCAGAATTTACTTGAAGATGACCCAAGGTGTGGTCAACCTCCAACTGCAGTCAACCCTGAAACAATTGCTGCTGTTGAGCAATTACTCATGGCTGATAGTTGAATGAAGGTGGCAAAGATTGTAGGAGAGACTGGAATTTCAGTTGGAAGTATTGAAATGATCATCCAAGATCTTCTTCACATGTTAAAGGTGGCTGTATGGTTAGTTCCCTGAAACATCATGCCACACGGTTGGCAACAAAGGGTTGATTCATCAAAGGAACTTTTGGAGCTTTAAAATTCTGATCCTGATTATTTTATTTTTGTGTGGTTATTGGTAATGAAATGTGGGTCCATCACTGGAATCCTGAGATAAAATCTGAATCAAGGCAGTGGGAACACACCAGTTCTCCCCCACCCAAAAAATTTTGCACACAGCTATCAGCTGGGAAGGTGAAGAAGACTATTTTTTGGGATGCCAAAGGTGTAATCCTGAAAGATTACCCTCCAAAAAAGATCAAAATGACAGCTGATTAGTATGCTCAATTAATGTCAAAATTATGTTCACCATGAAGGAGAAGAAACATGGGAAGCTTTCCAAAGGTATTTATCTCCTCCATGACAATGCTCCAATGCACAGGAGACTTGCACAACTCAATATTAACCCTTTTAGGTCCAAGTATTTTGAATGTGTCAGCACTGTCATCCAAGTTTTGTCTGTCCTTCATCATGAGGCCAACACAAGATAACTCGAGCATAGACCCCAAGAGGTTAAAGAGTGCAGCTTCAAACAACTCAACCATTCACCTTCTAATCCAGATCTGGCCCACAATGACTACCCACATTTTTTGCACACAAATTATACCAGGTTAGAGGAATAAAATCAGGAGAAGATGATGTAAATCCAAGAATAAGTTCTTATAGCTACAGTTCATTTGTACAGTTTTACTTGTCAGGTTTTGAAAATATGACCTGATAGGCAAATAATTGCTAGTTGAAATCACAATATACTGAACTCAAAGAATCAAAACCATGGGGGTCTATAGGAACAACCAAAAAGTTCAAGTTTGTACTCCATATGCCCATCGGATCTAACTTTGTTATGCATAAAGTTGACCATATATGAATACTTACTTTTCCAAGAGGGCAATGAAATCTTTCCTCTTCTCCAGGTACATTCTGTATCTCTGAGAGAATGTTTGAAGGCGAGACTTGAACAGAGACGTCACATCTTCCAAATTTGCAACAACTGCAGCCCAGCCTGCATGAAATGAAATTGATATACAGGTTGCTTAGGACATATCTGCTTGTGATTCACATATGAACCTAACATAGCTTAAATCATCTTTGTTTCAATCAGATCCTTTTTCCTCCTCCCCTGGAGGAGATAATAGTCACCTTTCTTTGTCATGATTAACAAACAAACCAATGTGGTCAGGAGCAAAGCACAATTATGCTATCATTGCATTTACAGAAGCATCTTTTGACAGCCTGCAATGAATCCAACTCAAGTTCACTAGAAGCCACTAACCATACAGTTCTTAAAAAAAGTAAAATTAAAACAATGGGTAACTTTCAAATACCACATGATTGCAACCATATGGTGTAAAGAACAGAGAAATAAGTTCAGAGAATGATTCCTATACAGTAACTGTATTCAAGAGGTGGCCTGACCAGGTTTGGTAGCCAAGTGGTTAGGAGGCCATTCCATGCCAACTGAACAGAGGGAAGTGGTATCTCATGGAGGAATGAATGTGTGATTAAATTTTTTTTATTTGCTTGAGGATTTGCAGGAAGTAAGATATGATGGCTGCAAACAAGGGCATCAGGTTTCATTCAAACGGGATCCCAATAAGCATAAATTGCTAATTGCCAATGGCTAATTTTGATACCACAGCATTTCTCCTGGGTAACTTATCCATAACAAGTCAATAATTCACTCCTAATTGAGCTAGAAAGATGTTCAACATGGCACTTCTTTCAGCTCTTTTTTTATTTTATCCTTTTCTAATCTCATCCAAGTTAAAACTCCAATATCCAAGTTAAATTAGTGTTTCTTCATATACAGGGTGGTCCACCAATTCCACTACAATTTTATTTGATGATAATTGAAAGTAGAGTACAGCTACAAAAATTGAACATAGCAGAGTTTGAAGTAGAGGGTGAGTCAAAAGTCACTGGATGACTTTGAACAGCTATAACTCAGCAAGGAAGGCATTAATTTGCAAACTTTTTTGCATAGGAAAGAGCATGCAATAATTAACAAATTTGTAATGTTAAAAAAAACTATGTATTTGCATAAAAATGACTCTAATTACTGGACACAATATTGAGCACCATCAAACTTGATCATGTAAGCTGATACCCAAAAGGCAACTCCAGCAATCTTCTCAGTGATGCATTGCTTCAGTTCAATAATCATGGGCAAATTTTTGGGTTATACCTGGTCTTTAAATGAAACCCTACTGTTGGAAGTCAAGTGGAGTCAGATCGAGCAAACTGGGAGGCACTAGTTGGACTAGTTAGTTCCATATGAATGCCTCCAGGATCAGTGAAGAACTTAATGTGGTTGCCTTCGTTTCTGTTGCAGGTATCAGATCAGATGGCATTAGGGATGTGATGAATAGAAACATCCCTAATGCATTGCTCCAAACCTAGGACATTTCTGGGTTTTGTAAAATGATTCTTGGATTTCTTATCACTCCATAGTTAAAGATCAATGGTTAATGGCATAAGGTCCAGAAATCTGGCTAGGGAAGTGTTTGAGCTGCTGAGTTCAATCCTTCTCCCAGGATATGCCTGGGATATTTCAATGACATGCCACTATTAATCCAAAATACAGAGCTAGAATTTTTTTTTTGGAGCCAGGCTTGAAACCAGGGGCATTTCATGATCTTCAAGAGCTGGAATAAAGAATCTATGTACTTCTTCTTCTTATCCGTTCAGTCGAGTACGACTCTCGGCCACACTATGGATCAGTGTTCTCCATGTCTTCCGATCTCTCACGGCTTCTTTCAATTCTGCTATGTTCAATCCAGTATCTTTCTTGATGGTATCTAGCCAGCGAGTTCTTGGGTGGCCTCGTCTTCTTTTGCCACTGACCATTCCAAGCATGATGTCCTTCTCAAGCGACTTGCTTCGCATGATGTGACCAAAGTAGGAGAGCTTTTGCTTTGTCATCTTCCCCTCCAGTGAGATTTTCGGTTTGATCCGTTCCAGAACTTTTTGGTTTGTTATTCTGGCTGTCCACGGAATGCGTAACAGACGTCTCCAGCACCACAGTTCAAATGCATCGATCTTTCGCCTGTCTGCCTTTCTCAGCGTCCAGGTTT